ATTACTCCGAAGGAAAAGCAATATCCATTTTGGTGTATCCTGGCCAGGACCAAAAGTTTTATCGGAACCTTTTCGGGATATCGATAGGACATGTCTCATTGAAATGTTTCAATCTCACCCAGCGGAGAGGCAATAAGAAGCGGCTATAATTCCTACTCACATTCATTGGAATATAATCATCCTGCATAGCGTTATCATTTGGCTGCAGAAAAGTATAGCGCCCCTACCATCATGGTATCTTTTTAGTCTCCTAGACGTGGTTTCGCAGGCCTAACATTTTATCTCAGTCCCAAGTATGATAACACAGCTTTAAGCAGGTATGTGATAGTTCAGTTGTTCTTTCATCTTTCTCTCTGGAAACGCAGAGTGAACGGTGTAAAATCAAGGGTTCGAGTGGACATGTTTTGAAAGACTCGTATCAAATAAAGCTTCTGATGGAAAAATAAGCCACTTCAATGGCCTTAGTAGTATCCTGCAACCTCATGCTTAGTACGTACGGGCTTACGTGTGGTAGAGCGTCACCAGGAGAGAGTTACATGTGGCTACCTTTGTGTTAGAAAGCGTAAATTTTGGTGTCGATTTAGGGAATGATAAGTCACAATGCACTGAAGCTGGGATTGGACATTCGCGTAGATTTCCAACAGTTAGCAATCTTCCAGTAAATTGAGGTCTCAACAATCTGAGGTAATCCGTTCCATAAGGTCTGCATATTTCATATTAGACTGACTGCCAAGAGAGCTTGATGCCATCACCTTTGTCTTACTCCTCCTTTAGCAGACAATATATTTCTCCGATCTGGCACACTTAGCGGTACCATCATCTTGAAATAATAAAATAATATATTTGGGTTGGTATAAGCAAAGTAGTTGCCCCAACACCGCTCCATTATATCCACAGGAAGTATAGAAATACACCGACACAGGCACAATCCATAGAAGTGCACAACATAACCAATATGCAGGCAAGTTCCAGACCGCAGTAAAGTCAGGGGGCACCCCACTTAAATAAAACCTCCCAATCTTGTTCTGGAGCTGCTTTCTCCACTCCTCTCTTCAGAGCTCATCATGGGATTCAGTACTGCGGCCGAATTTGACCAGGTGGGAATATATCCTTCAAGTCGAACATGGTCTGATTGACCTTAATAGGCCTACTCAAGTGTGCGGAGCGCCTTTGCATCCGGCACTACCAAGAATAAAGGATGGAGACGACATCAACTCAAACGTGTTTGGTGGATGGTCGAGGATAACAAGAAGCGCATCTGCGACGCGCTCTACACCGACCTACACAGGCATTACCAAGAATCGCACTCCGCAGACTGCGCGGGTGCCCAGGGCGACGTCCTGCGCACCTTGGAGAAATTGGATGAATGGACCAAAGACGAGAGACCAACAAGGACTGATCCTCTTAATTTCCTTGGAAGAACGACAGTGCGCAAGGAGCCTCTCGGGGTTACTTTAATCATTGGTGCTTGGAACTTCCCCGTCACTCTGCTTCTGCAGCCAATGATTGCTGCGATTGCTGCAGGATGTGCGATGATTCTCAAACCATCAGATGTGGCTTGCGCGACCCAGGATCTAATGATGGAAATCATCCCTCAATATATGGATAGCGATGCGATACGATGTGTTTCGGCTGGACCACAGGAAATGGGATATATCTTGGAGCATCGTTTTGATCACATCTTTTACACTGGATCCACTAGCATTGCGAAGATTATCCATGCGGCAGCAGCAAAGCACCTCACACCTGTTACACTCGAATTAGGCGGTCAATGTCCAGCAATTGTCACCGAGTCCGCTAATCTGGATCTCACTGCGAAGCACATCGCTGTTACTAAATTCAACAATGCCGGACAGGTAATATCCTTCAATGTCGGTATTCATCAATAGCTAACACGACTGATAGATTTGCTTGAATGTTAATCATGTCCTTGTTCATCCTACCCTGCGAGAGGACCTGGTCACCGAGTTGTGTCGCTATTTCGACACATTCCGAGGGGGCAAAAACAACCAACCCGACTATTATACACACATCATTAACGATCCCAACTTTGACCGTCTCGACAGCTTACTCCAGCAGACCTCCGGAAAAATCGTGTATAGCGGCCAGCGGGATCGCCAAAGCCGATATTTTGCACCGACAATTGTGACTGGGGTCAAGCCCGGCGATCCCCTTCTGTCTGAAGAAATCTTCGGACCAATTCTTCCCATTGTCGACGCAGACTTCGATACTGCTATCTCATTCACACGTGGATTAGAGCACCCTCTTGCAATTTACGTGTTCACCAGCAAATCCGCAGATAAGGAGCGCATCTTGAACGAAACCCAATCCGGAGGCGTGACCTTCAACGACTGCGGTCTTCACGTTGCTGCATGCGATGCACCATTTGGTGGCGTTGGAAATGCTGGCCAGGGCTATTATCACGGCCCACAGGGGATCTTGACATTCTCCCATCTTCGCACGCATATTAACGCATTGCCCGCGTGGATGGAATGGTGTATCGCTGCGCGATATCCCCCCTACTCGATCGAGAAGGCCCACAAGATGTCTCCACCGGTTGTCCCGCCATTTGGCCGTGACGGCAATGATAAGACTCTAACCGGTGGCTTGAAATGGGTCTTGCGATTCGGTCTTTTGGCCCTTTCTGCCTTGATAGTGACTCGGTGGGATCAAATTGTCGCTCTTGGTTCGAAATTGTTGTAGTTTTTAAGATCATCTAGAAACTGAGAGGATCTACATTCCCCGTTCCATTTTTTTGCACACGATAATAGGCGGAATTACTTCGGTGGATCTGCATTGAATGAGCGGGGAAGCTATTCGGTGCCGGGCAAGGGGTATACATCGGCAAATCCGGAGAACGGCCACACGCGATCCAATATGTAGAGAACTTTAACCCATCATGAAACACGGATAATTTTCTTGCTCGTAGCAACTGAAGCTTTAATCCTCTGCAGATAAACGAGTCTCGTGGCAGGCAGATGTAGAATGTACCGGCGTATTCGGAGATCGCGGTGTAATTACCGGTCTTACCGAGCTAAAGTTAACGTTAAGTTGGACTAGGATAGATCCAAGCTGGAATGGGCTAAGTCAATAGCCGAGTGAGACTTGGTATAAAGAGGAGACCGTGAGGAGACAGAACTTGGGAATTCTAATTGATCGCTTGTACTTTCATTGACGCTGGCAACCAAAAAATCGACCATGAAGCTATCTCTAGCCCTCTTGGGCCTCAATGCCGCCTACAATGCTGCCATTGTCTCTGCTGCCCCAGTTGAAAGCTGGTCCACCAAATCCGGTGCTTCACCGTCTGCGGTGGACATGTTCAATACAGCAATCGAATGGAACGACAAATATTGGGACGACGACGCTGGTTATTTGATCGCATCATCTGAGGGCCCTGGACGCTACGATAGTCGACACACGGCATGGTATGCGCCTCAATTGCTTGCCAGAAATGGGCCGGGCGATGTCGCGAAGGCCATTCGTATCTTCGACAATGTGATCTCGGGCCAATATCTGGACCCATCTAAGCAGTGGTATGGAGACTACCAGGGAGCACCTTCTGAGCCAGAGCCTGGGACACTGGTGTATCCCGACGATGGACCATACAGTTCGGTAAGGCGATGATTCCCAATTGCTGATTCGCGGTCTCACTAACACGCTACCCAGTGGGATCCAAACGTCCGTGATTTCGTGGGCTGTGCTTGGATTGTGGCATTGAACGACTATGGCCACCTGCTGCCAGCAGCGACAGTCTCCAAAGTGGAGAAGTCCTTGCACATCGCGGCAAGGGGCGACTTGTACCGCGTCGGAGGAGTTGATGGCGACAACTCTTATCCTTGTTATTCCAATCCCTGGTTGATGCGAACAATCCTTCAAAACTGGGTCGGGGCACGAGTCGGAGATGCGAACCTGACAAAGTCCGGCGAGAAGTTTGCACAAGAGATATACGATCTCTGGAGCATGCACCATACCCTGTCTGAGTTCAACTCTCCAACTTATGCCGGAGTCGCCATGTGGGCTCTCGCTCTCTGGAACCAGTATGGAACAAGCGACAGTTTGCTGAAGAAATATGGTCCTGAAATGCTCACCTATAGTTGGGAAGAGCTGGGTCAGCTCTACAACGCCAATCTCAAGAATCTTGCTGGTCCATGGGATCGCAGCTATGGCTATAATATGAACGAATATGCCTCTCTGATCGGCGCTGTTATTTGGGGTGCTATTGGGCTTGAGAAAGCGCCTGTCCCTAAAAACTTGCTGGCGATGTATCACCAAGACGATTTTGCCTTCTATCCTTTGTTTGCTCTTTCGACACCGGAAATGGTGAAGTATCTGCCAGCAAAGGTCAAGACAAATCTGCTCAAATTCCCCGGCGAGCACATGTATACTTCACAAGCTTACTCGCCACCCTTTGACACATACCCACGAAACATCACTACATGGATGTCCAAGAACGTGACAATTGGCGCAGAGACTGTCGCCGAGCATGTTGTCGGAGGGCCCAGTATCAACCCCAGCCAATTCACACCTGCCGTCATCCAGTGGGCAATTGATGATCACCAGATTGGTTGTATCTCCCACTGGGTAACAGAGTCTTCTATCCATGCTGTGGCCGCCCCCGGAAGCCTCAAAATCTCGTACCCAAATGCGACATCTACAGATGGTCCTGTTTCTTTCAACTTCCTTTTCAGTGGCCTCGATGTCAACAACGGATTCAACGTTACTGGACTAGAAGGTGTTCCTGGGTTGAATGTCAAGTTGACAACGAATGCCTTGCCAAATTACACTATGACATATAACACCGATCATTCTGTCAACGAGTTCAGCTTCTACAACATCACATATACGATGCCTAAGAGCTTTACTGGAGTCCCATTTGTATCTCTCCAAATTGTCTAAGCAAGCATGCGCAAAGCTGTCTTCGCTAAATCGATTTTTCAATTTTGCGTTCGATGTTTATTAAGGAATTGTACATATATGGTCTCAGACAGAAGTCATCAAAGTTACTCATCCTTTTTCTCCCCTTGAGACTGTTCCTCTCCATCCTCTCCACCCTCTCCACCTTCTCCTTCTTGTGTCTGGGGAATCCAAAAGCGAGTGATCATACCACCCAAGAACCGCTGATCAACCCATTTAACTAAGCCATAGAAGACCCAGCCCCAGCCCCAAAGCGAAACACCCATCATGCTTGTGACCAACAACACCGGACCAAGGATAAGTAGCGACAGGACCGCCCAAAGCAACATCGAGACAGCCGCGAAGACAAATACACCAGCGAGGAATACCAACAAGGGAACACCACAGCATATCATCTGACAAACGATAAAGGTCGTCGCAGCGGGGCGCTTGAGCGCAGCTTCATACATTGCAGCCTGTCGGGGCGGAGGGAGCAACCAGGACACCATATACCGGATCCAGGATTCAAAGGCGTCAAAAGCTTGAGGGAATAAAGAGGAAGCCCATGATACGATGGTGGCCCATATTCCCGAGAAAGACACATCGCTATTGACTTTTTCTTCTTTAGGGGGAGCGTCGTCTGAAGGGAATTCGCCGGGAAGAGCAGGCTCGGTCAGGTCCTTCGTCGTTTGATTCAACTTCCTTGGTTTTACATTCTTCTTCGCTCCGCTAGCTGTTGATTGGACTTGGTTCACAGATTGGTTCACAGGAAGTTGACCGGTAAGCCCGCTGGTGGCTTTATCGAGGGGCATGATGACGGCTGAGAGAAAACCGTGCTCGATTAAAAAGGCGACCGAAGCAGAGAACTGTAGGAAGCATCAGAGAAGAAAGATAAAAGGCCAATAATCAAGATCTATATCAATTTTGGAGCATTCCAGGGAATGACGTATGGGGCGTTGCGCTAAGTGGTTCACGCTTTTCGCCGATATTAATTCTGCGTCACAACCCAGCGATGCTGCAGATGTTGCATGTCACTTTCTGAACGTGTGAAAATCTGGTTATCAAGTGGCACAGGCAAATGAGGCTGAATTTTCACCTGGAGTTTCATCATGGAGCATGAGTATGCTGAGCCACGTGCAGACAACCTGAGCTGTAAGATTATCGATGCGATGGGTTGGAAACATTGGTAATTTGAGATATGAATCAATTCAATTATGTTTTGATATCCTATGTGCAAAAGGGTATGGTAAATCGTGAAAAAAATGCTATGCTACGCATCATTGGTCGGAAGCGCCATCGCGATCTTCAAAGACCATAAAATCATCATCACCTACTTCATCTCCCATGATCTTCTTCCACGCCTGCTTGACAAGGTCAAGGGTATCATCCTCAAATGCCAGATCAAGGCTCGACGGGGGGAAGCGGAAGTAAGAAGGAAGGTAGTTGTCGAGTTCCCACCTAGTTTCATCAGTGCTGAGACGACCCCTATGGGTGTATCGTAGAGACCAGAGGACGATAGCCCCAGGACCTTCTGCTTTAAGGAGCTTGTTCACAGCGGACTCGAGCAAAGCTTGACCCTCCGATCCGGCAAGTGCCACGCTGCCATAGATAACACCTGTGACGGTTGATTAGCCACATGAATGATAACAGTGCTGATGAATCCAAAATGCAAAATTGTGCTCGTGATCAGTTTGAAAAGGGTTTCAACATAGCAAGTTCAGGCAATGTAGATAAGTTTTTGAAAAAAATCATCATGCGAGCGATTCGGGGAGTCAAAAAAACAAGGGAAAAGTGATCGACTTACTCTGCTGGCGTGGACACTCGCCTGTGTCACTTGAATGAACTTGAAGATACACAGGCGGTGATTGAGGATTGCCCAAGGCCTCCCCTGGGAACATGAGCACTGTACTTGCAGGCATAGGAGCCCCTTCGACCGTAACAGGGAAAAGTGATGGGAAAGTGGCCGAAGCCACTGTCACCGAACGTGCGACTTCGATGTGGGGTTTTGAATAGTTGGCTTTGTGGGGATCATCCGTCATCGCGCCGAACACAAATTTGGTTTGGAGGGACTCTCCACTGAGCAATTGGGCCTGGAGAGGATACTCTCCACCCTCTTGACAGTGGCGAACCTCGCCTAGCCTTGTGTCTAGGGCGTATACACCCCCGCCCACGGCTGAGGCACGACACGCAACCTGAAGTATTTCAGCGCCACCGCCATACTTGGCTACCACCGCGCCAAACCCGGGTCCAAGAGCACCAATGGATGTGAGATGTCTCTCAATCCTGGGAATGGCATAACCGGCAGATGTTCCTTTCTGGGGAAGCTGGGATAGCGAGAGCGATAGCAGGGGATTGTGAAGTTCCTCTGGTACACTGAACTTGGAAGCCAAATACTCCTGGAAGGGCATGGACAAATCCTCGTCTTCCACTGGGGCTTCATCCTCCTTGGGTTTGGTGATGTGACGCAATAATCGCATTAAAGTCCTCTTGGACTTCATGCTAATATGGTTTGCGGCGAAGACATCTTCCCGGTTGCCGGGTACGCGATAGAGAACCTTTTCCGCACCGAGCTCGCCATTATCGGAGTCGGCTTGTCCAGGGGCATAAATCCACCAGCTACCAACTGCCATAAATTCAAGCTGGCGGAAGACCTTCGAGGAGATGAGGCTTGAGATTAGTTTGGAACGCGTGTAGAGGAAATGCGGGGACAAGGACAGGGTGTAGGATCGACTAGAAGAAAGCTTGGGTGAAGAAGCATCCTGGGTATCCTGAGACTGTTGTGATGTGAAGATCGAGGCATCTTTGAAGGGTGATGACCCGGAGACGGCTATTGTCGGCAACATGTTAGCATTGAAATGTCAAATGCATGTAGAGATTTCTTACCATCATTAACACGATCTGCCCATTCCTGGGCCTCATCAAGACTGAAGGCTGCTTCTGAACCGCCATAGTATTGGTTTGAGTCCAGGTGAAGAACCTTCTTTCCAGATCGTGAGAGGGCCCTTGGGAGTGTGAGTGCTCAACCTAGACACCCTCAGATATATCACTCACAGTGCCAGGAGGGATTGAGGGAGACCAGTGCCTTGGATGATCACATCCCATGTGGTGTCCGACAGAGACTCCATGGCGTGAAAAGTCAGGGTCCTAGCTGTAGGTAAGTTCGAGTATTACAGCCAGATTTGATAGCCCAAGCTCTCATTGATTGGAGTTGGATCTTTGATGCAGAATCATCTCTCTCTGTGGGATACTGTTAAACCCAGAGACTCGTGGTTGGGGAAGAGAAAAGAAGAAGAAAAAAAAAGTGGAAGGAAACGAGGATGTGCGCGTGCAAAGGCGGTCACCGAGTCCCCACTCCAGCAACAGTACTTTCTTCTTCCAACATATTCCAAAGTTGTTTTGATTGAATTATGTCTCTGCTATGTTGTTGAATGCAAATAAAATACAATTTTGGTTTTATACACTAACTGGTCAATTTTGAAACGGTTGCTTCCGATTCTCCGGGAATACTGAGCTATACCTCGTCAACCTCGTCGATATAATGTAGCGCTATAGCTCCAGAGAGGTCAGGCGCGATCCTTTTCGATCTCATTCCCAGTATCTGGTAGTGCTCTTCTCTTCAGTCTGAGCTCCTCCATATTCTTCTAGCTTCATACTTTTCAGAGAGGGCATGACAATGAACATCAATGAGAGCGAAACGGGCCTGCGATTGCAAGTAATTTTGTGACTCTCGGTAGCTGCGATTGATCGCGTCGCGAGCTTCAGTACCGACGGCATATATTTCGAGCAACCATAATTGAGCCGACGATAGACCTTGCCTTGTTTTTCAGGTCACTGGGAAGATACTGCTGCAGTTTATTAGGCAGAGTGTTTCGCCATATTGCTCCGGCGACACCGTCGAATATTAGTTAGAATGAAACTTAACAGGATACTGTTTCTAAGGAGTTCTCAATTTGTGCCAATTGCACCTCCTACGCTCATCGATGCGAAGAAGACCGCTATAACATCCAAAACTTCTTGCCGCCAAACCATGGCTTGCACGGAGACCTATGCGGCCGTTTGATAGAAACACGGCTAATACCAGCCAGTGGCTTGGTTGTCACGAATACTGCTTCATTTCCAATGCGACCATCTCCCGTGTCCAAAGGTAAAGAAGCACGCCCATTCCGAGAACGCAAAGAGAAAACCCGGTCAATACAAAGACTTGAGATGGTTTTATACTTCATAAAATAGGCGGCAAATATGTCAGCTACCTGAAAAGCCAAACGAAGTGAGCTACTGAGTAAAAGATTAGTTTTGTGCAGAGCAATAGGCATTGGAAGGAATAGAAGGTTCAGACTCAATTCTTCTCGCGGAGTCCGCAGAAAAGTTTCCAGCAACCTTGAGGTAACTTGTAAATAAGACGCTGAAAACCGAATAATGGAAGAAGTCCAATACCCCGAGAAGGCATGCAGCTCCCTTCGTGCGGTTCTAGATCATGAGGTAAGGTACAAATGGCTTCTGTGCGAATCGTGCGTCCCAAACAAGAAATGCCATCAAGAAGACAACCCCAGGGACCAGTATTGCAATAAATGACCGACTTTGAGAATAAGCATCGCTGGCCAACAAACTCATTAAATTCACATGGCAATTCTTGGTAACTGGCGGAGGCTAAACCTAAGCTTATCAATCAGATGGTGCATAAACGGCGCATGTCCATGACAGGAAATTGGGACGACACTACACGCGTCTCCCTCGTATTCGAAATGGGCTACTACCGAGTCAGATAACTCTTGCCAAGATGTCCAAGGGCATGCTAAGCTAACCTACCGAAATGTTGTTGTGAGAATACATGTAGCTTCAGACCGGAATTAATGATACGCAGATGCTATATGGACACCCAATTATTGCATGACGGACAACTGCGATGAGATGTCCCTCCGACTCGAGCAGAGTTGCTACCTGCGGTCGGTCAAAAGCAGAAAATATGAAGAGGAAGATCATAGAAGTGTCATTGCTGCAGCATTGAACGGGGCAATCTTCTATTTCCTCGATCATCCAAAATGTTTATAGATCCATCCACACGTGACTTCCCAAAGGGGTTAGGCTGCACGGCTTAAGAACCTGAAAACTCAGTGGAATCTTTTCTTCTCCATGCCACTCCCAGTGCTTGCACAGAACGATTACCATTCCAATGGCAATTCGGTCTTCATCGACGCGGGCCTTCACTGGACTTCGTTATGGGAGTGGTAGATAAGATTCCTGTCACTCTGTATCTGCTGCTCTTGATGGAGACATCTGATGGAAGCGGTTCGTTTTGTAGTGATACATTCATAACTCTCATTAGCTATAGGGTAGCTTGTTCTGCCAAATCCTGTAGATTTTATAGCTTGCGGGCGGATGCAAGCAGCTGCGATTTCAAGCATGCCTGACGCCGTGTCGGGTTATGGTGTCTGCAACCTGCAGGGCATATGGGTTTCCAGTTCTTCGACCTGGGCTGTCTCCTTCCGTGGAAGTGATGCTGTATGATTCCTCCTTGTTCGCGTGCGTTTAGTCGCAACATGCAGCTTTTCACTCCTGTGCCCCCTGCTCGACCACTCGAGCCCGAATGATCTTGACCTCGTCCATAGGCTTGTCTTCTGCGTTTGTCTTGACGAGTCCCAGGCGCTGAATGATTCTCATACCACTCTTGACACGGCCAAAGATTGTGTGCTTTCCGTCCAGCCATGGGGTGGGCGCAAGTGTAACGAAGAATTGACTGCCGTTGGTGTTTGGCCCGCTGTTGGCCATGCTCAAGATTCCAGCTCCGGTGTGTTTCAAGTCTCCGCGAATCTCGTCTTCGAATTTCTCGCCGTAAATGGAGCTACCGCCTCGACCAGTGCCGGTAGGATCGCCTGTCTGGACCATGAAGTTAGGAATGATACGGTGGAAGATGACATTGTTGTAGTAGCCGCGTTCGGCAAGTGTCGCGAAGTTCTTGCATGTCTAAGGGGGGAGGCGTCAGTAAAAAGTATTGGGAGGCAATGCCGAGGAGTTCATACCTTGGGTGCATGGGTATTGTAGAGCTCTACAGAGAAAGAGCCCTGGGAGGAGTTAGTTAAACATCACAACAAGATATGATAGAACCACAAAATACCATAGACGTGTCAAATGCCACCTCGGTCGCCATGATGAAGCTGTGAATGCGGAGGGTCAAAAGTGCAGAGAGTGTGTGAGAGGAAGGCGGGATCGGCCATGGAGCTTGGCACTCCAATCTCTCGACAACAAGCAACCTTCTCAATTCCTCAACTTCTCAGCTTCTATAGACATGGTCTGAAGGTCTTTTGGTTGTCTTTCGCTTAACTCAACCTTCTTTTCTCTTGCGATTACTCCCTCCTTCGCTATAACAGGCCACCATGTCCGATGTCAGCCCTGTCGCAGAGCTGCTTGGACAGGCGCTCTACCATTACGAACGATTGAGACCACTTTTTCCCACCTATGGACACCTTATCGTTTCCGCTCTTTTCCCAATCTGGATCGGTTCCCATGCATCGTTGACCAGACCTTCGTCCGCCGCCAAACCCCCCAAGAAAGACACGAATGAAGTTGAAGACACAGAAGATGAAGTGGGACCGGGTCCGCTGCAGAAGATGGAAGGACTTGGACCATCTGATGCTCTGATGCTTCCAGTGACCGCTGGGCTCACCCTGAGTGGTTTATATCTGGTGATCAAATGGTTGGAAGACCCGGCTATCTTGAACAAGGTCCTCAGCTTCTACTTCTCCCAAATGGGGCTTTTCTTCGCCTTCACCTTTTTGAAGGATGTCCTCTTGATGATTCGGTCGTTTGTGTTCCCTCGGCGCTATCGCCAAGGTGGACAGTTATGGAAGGTGGCACAGTCAGAGCGCAAGTTCATCGCATCTGGCAGTACTTCAGTCAAGTCACCGTCTGTCCGGTATTCACCACTTGCTGGAATCTGGGGCTTGATCCCACTTCCAGGTATGGTAGCCACGCTGATTTGGAAATGCCGAAATGCCTCCTACCAGCGACTCCAGGTACGGGCTCAGGTACGAGGTTTATTCAACTTCAAATGCCCTATCGGTCTCATTGATGTCCTGAGCGCGTTACTTGCATTATCAGCTGTGGGATATTTTGCCTTTGTCGCAAAGCTGTGGTGGTTGACCAATTTCCTCGGATTCTGCTTCTGCTATGGTACTCTCCAAGTCATGTCACCGTCCACCTTTTGGACAGGCACCCTCATTTTGGGTGCTTTGTTTTTCTATGACATCTACTTCGTCTTTTTCACTCCGTTGATGGTCACTGTTGCGACAAAGCTGGATGTACCAATCAAGCTGCTTTTCCCCCGCCCACCAAATGCCAACGACGATCCTAGTACCACACAGCTGGCCATGCTTGGACTGGGCGATATTGTGGTACCAGGAATGGTGATGGGACTGGCACTTCGCTTCGACCTTTTTCTCTACTATCAACGGAAAGGCGCCCAAAAGGCACAGACTGAAGGGTCAGACCTGGCAGCCGTCAAGCCTGAGTATCAATCACCAACTGGAGCTTGGGGAGAGCGGTTCTGGGCTCCGTCACCCAAACCAGAGAACCCAGAATTCCAACCTCCTTATTACGATGCTCGCACGTTCCCCAAGACATACTTCAAGGCCAGTGTGGTTGGCTATGTTTCCGGAATGGTCACGACTCTCCTCGCGATGCAATACTCAAACCACGCGCAGCCTGCTCTGCTTTACCTGGTTCCAGGCGTCTTGACCTCGCTCTGGGGCACCGCGCTCGTCCGGGGTGAAATCAACACTATGTGGCACTTCTCCGATGAAGAAGAAGTGGAAGTCGACGAGGAAAAGAAGGAAGAGGCTAAAGAGGAGTCCTCTACAAAAAGCCAGAAGAGTCTGTTTATGCGTCTTTTCTCTGGTGAAATCGATGCTCCTGCATCAAAAGACGGCAGCTCACAGTCTAAGAAGACTGACAAGAAGAAGACTGATGATTCAAAGCCCAAGAAGGCGAGAAAGGACGAAAAGGACCAAAAGAGTTTGGACCTGATCTCCTTTTCCGTTTCAATTCCTCGGAAATCCACAAGTGAGACTAAAGACACTTCTTCGGAAACCCTTGAAGACGAAGAGGACAAGGTGACGCAGGTTTATCTCAATGCCGATGGAGACAATGAGCCTCCGCTAAAGAGAAGAAGGCGTAGCGTGAAGAAGCCAGCGAGCGAGTGATGCGACCAATAGAGTCTCCTAGCATGCACCTTCATGGCCGAAAAATGATTTCATGTATTATTAACTTGACACCCTTAGCCTCAATGTATTGCTAAGTATGCTATCATTTTCTACACGTCGAGTTTCAATTACAAGAAGCCTGGAAGATAAAATTGTAGTGGTATCATTTGTTTGTATGGCATCTGATCAGCATTGATCCAATATCCGTTTCATCTCATCCCATCTCCGAGCAGAAACATCCACGAGCTGCCGCATATCATCGGCGTCCAAACCCCAACCACCATGCTTCTCCATCTTCACAATCACAGTGTTCCCCTTCCCATCATTCTCCTTGTCCACAACAACACAAGCCCGCTCCTGGCTCAATCCCTCCTCGTATCCATCCGGGTCCGCCAAAATCCACCTTTGCTGCATGCCCTGCTTCTTCTGCTTCTGTTCCTGAGCCTTCTGCTCCTCGGCATCGGGAATGACAACCGCTCTCCAGCCAGCAGCGGCATCAGCCTCAAATGAGCAGAACGAGCTAGCAATGGGCAAACCACGTAGAGACAACTTCTGTGCATCCGCAATATCATCCGAGCAAAGGATCGTCTCATTATCGGCATCCCACCAAGCCTTGGGGAGCTTTGTATCGCGCAGCGCAGCCAATACAGAGGCCCAAGCAGCATCGAATGGGTTTCCAGCCAAGGAAATGATCATGACATCAATGTAGAGCACCCAGAAGGCTTTAATCTCCCGCGCAGGGTTCCCACTCCCTTCCGAATCCACATCCATCTGCTCACCCAATGCCTCCGCTTCGAGGTTCGGCGGCTGATACCAGATGCGCAAGTCGTCTGCTTGGACGAGACGGGTGCTGTGCAGTAGGGAAAGAAGCTGGTGAGAGAGAGACTGGGCGAGTGCGGAAGGCGCCGCACCGGGAGTGAAGCCCGGCGCGCAGCCAGTGCTGAGAGAAAGATTGGGAACCAGCAGGTTCAAGTCTTGGATGTGGGCTCGATCCTCCTTATCTTGCGAGTCTGTGTCTCCTTCTTCGGGTTTCTTGTCGGTATTTTGCTCTGACGAGGCCTGCGATACGCTCCATGAAGCGATATCGTCTGTGTGAAGAATTTCCGCGCGAACACCGCAGACGGCGGCAGTGTCGCCGATTCGTACGACTGCGCTACCATTTGTGTGAGTTAAGGAGCCTGCATTGGCGGATGTGACACGAAATTGCGAGGCTGCACGACCGTTGGCACGGAGCGAGGGTTGGTTGCTTGCTGCTGGTGGGGAGAGGTGGGCGAGAAGGTAGGCGTGAGGTTGGAGGCGGGCGAATTGGGATGGTGGCAGGGATAATGATGGAGGGACCGGGTGGCTAGGAGTAGAGGACGCCATTGTTAGTTAATGTCCCTGACTGCTCTTGTTAAAACTGGAATGACTGAAAAAGCCGAGGAGCATCAACGGCAGAATAATTTCCTATCGAGGGCGGTGGAAGCTATTGTTGGTGCCTCAGGCAGAAAACGATATCCAACTCGGTGGAAACCATCTCTCTTCCTTACACTCTGTCGAATTATTGTGAGGAACAGTTACCATCTAACATACTGCAAGACTATTTGGATGGTCTGATAGCCCCAAAATTCTATCCGCATAGGCACAAACCATAACTTGTCGGAACCAGCGATAATACCGTGGAACACGATCAACTGGATGTCCAAGGCAGTATCACATCGACCACAAGTGCCGAGATAAGAGGCAGATTTAGCAGGATGCAGAGTCCCCTGCAAGGTAACAATAACATGGGCACGATCTCCGGAGTCCAGCCCTTACCAAAGCTCCCAGGTAGCAGACCATGGCTGTAACACCAAGGAAGCCTATATGACCGACTGCATTAAGGACTAGAACTTGAGATACTCAGTCGTATTCAAGATTGTATGAATTTCTATCGCCTCGCGGTGAAAATTATCCAGATCCTACCAGCAAATCGTTCTATAAAAAGACAAAGTATTGTCGCGTGTCAGCTACAGAATGCATACATACCGTTGATGCTGTGACTGTTCTCGAAGGTTGCACGTCTCTTCTATGCCCTAAGGCAATTCTACCATGCCAGTTGGATTTAATTGAGGAGATTACTTCCCCCAAGCAGACAAAATGCCTTATTTATAGTACTCCGTTCTACTGTACATTCAATGTTGGCTGGAGCTTTAGGGCTGTTCTGCATGTATACTTCACGTTTCCGGCTAAATAAACCAGGAACCACTTAAAGATATGATTGGAGCTTAAAAAACGAGAATCTGACCTGGCTGATATGCAGCAACTTCCCCACTGCGCTAATGCGGGCTCATCACTCAGTCACTTTGCGTCCAACAATGTGATGAGTGATTGGGCGTCAGAGCGCTAAACCGTCACGCCTCAGTGGGATATCACTCCGCACTGAACTTCACTGGCGAACCGCTCGGAAAGCCAAGACTCAGTCTGTAATAGGTGTATTTTATTGGCTCATCACTCGGAATCTTATGCTGGGCTTATCCTGCCACAGTTGCAGAGCAGTTTGTGTGACTTGCCCTCGCATACTTCTAGACGGGATCTCCCCCGAGAGTTCCTTTTTTGCTCTTTTTCGTGATGACATCAAGCTTGAAGCTCTGACATGAGCTCGGAACTATAGTACAACACTCTTGCGAACGGGATATCTGGTGAGTTGTTACTTGCGACGCAGAATCATTGGAGGGACTCTAACCTGGAGAATTAGAACATCGCATTGTCATCGACCAGCTTCACCATGTGGGACTCCGTTGTATCCCTCGTCAAGCGTGTCAAGGTCCCAGTCACGGCCTCAACGACCGCGGCCGAGGCAGCTGAGATGCAGCGAGACCCGTGGTCTAAATCAGCCAAATATGGAGTGGGATTTGTATATTTCGCCGTCGTGCTGCTGGTCATCACGACTCTCATCCGAGGCTGGCATATATGGGGCGACAAGATGCGCATTGCTTTTCATAAAGAAAATCGACTTCAAATATTCCGTGACGACTCGGTGCCAGATGAGTATGAGCTACCGAGTGCAGGAACCGATGCTTCCAATGCCCATTTCTTTCCGTCACCAAATGCAACCTCTGCTACAAAGAGACACGAATCACTTCTTGCCAGGATTGTTCCCTTAAACAAGGGAATTGCTTTCATGCGATGGATCTTTTACAGACCAATGCCAGCCCTCAAGATTCGGAAGTGGGAGATCGTGTTTCCGTCTTTGGCAGTGACAGTGATTGTACTGGCTGCGCTGATCTTTGTCACATTGTACTGTTTCGTTCCTCAACCCTTATACTACTGGTCGATTGCCCTCGGATCACCCCCGTTGGCTATTCGATCAGGTATGCTGGCAGTGGCCATGGTTCCTTGGATTGTTGCACTCAGCACCAAGGCCAACTTCATCAGTATGATGACTGGTCTTGGCCCTGAGCGGTTGAACGGATTGCACCGCTGGTCTGCCTATATCTGCCTGTTTCTCTGTCTGGTTCACATGATTCCGTTCTATATTACTCCAATTTGGGAAGATGGCGCATTGGTCAACTATCGCCTAGGAATTCCTGCGCATGTCTATGTGTACGGAACCGGATTTGCAGCACTGGCGCCTCTGCTGGTCTTGTGTCTTCATTCTCTTCCTATCTTCCGTCATTGGATGTATGAGCTGTTTGTGTTTGTTCATATTCCAGTCTCGTACGTTTTTGTGGCATTCCTGTTCTGGCACACAAGGAACTACCTCTCGTCGTGGGCCTATCTTTTCACCACCCTCGCCATTTGGGTCATCACTTATATCATTCGGCTGTTCTATTTGAACTGGACGAATCCTTTGCGCACATCATCGTTCTTGATCGGAGAAGAATGCGCCATAACTCTTCTCCCACAGAATGCTGTCAAAGTAGTAATTCCTACAAAGATGCGCTGGCGCCCTGGACAGTATGTCTACCTTCGACTGCCGAGGATCTCAGTCCTTCAGAGCCATCCTTTCACAATCTCCTCGCTCTGTAGTGATGACTTTCCGTCTGCCTATGGCGAGAAATACCGTGACCTGACGCTTGTCTTCCGTCCATTCGGTGGTTTCACAAAAAAGGTATTCCGCAAGGCCTTAAAGCATGGCCCTTACAAGACCTACAGCGCATTCCTAGAAGGGCCCTACGGTGGTATGCAGCGTGAGATGGCTGCCTTTGACGATGTGATCTTCTTCGCCGGAGGCAGTGGTATCACCGCCATTGCAAGTCAATTGTTGGATCTCATCAAGAAGATCCGAGATGGCAAAGCTATCACCAAATCAGTCCGAGTCATCTGGGCATTGAAGAGCCCAGAAACAATGGAATGGTTCCAGGAGGAGTTGCGTATCTGCCGTGACTATGCACCGTCGAACATTGTAAACTGTCACTTCTTCCTCACGGGCGTGAAGCAAGATGACCAACTTGGGCGGGATATGGTCCAGGAGAAGATCTACGGCATGCTCCAAGGCATCGACAAGCGTAACTCTGCCTATATCCGCGCCGAAGCTGCGGGTAATCCAGACGTGGAAAAGGAACTGCGCCGTGAGAACGAAGATGGCATTACTGCTCTACCCAATGCTTACCCGGCTGCTCATGCGCCAAACACCCGTCAGTACTATCAACCGACAATGGATCCATATGCTTCACCAGGATCTGGATCTGTCAACCCTAACTTCGACTTCGGATTTGGCACGCCACAAGCAGTGCCACAAAGACCACCGCCATCCCCAGCACCACGCTTTGCCTATTATCAACCACGACGAGACAACTGGCGTACCGACTACTTCCGTCCAAATATCCCTCAAATGATCAACGAATTTTCTAAGACCTTTGGCCGTCGCGCATGCGTGTTTGTCTGTGGGCCCCCGAGCATGCGTGTGGAGGTGGCCAATACAGTGGCCAAACTCCAGCTGCAAGTGATGATGGATTCATCGAAAGATGAGATCTTCTTGCATGCTGAGAATTATAACATCTAATGTAGTGTTTCTTGTCTTTTGTTGGCGCGATACCCATGGCGTTGTATTTACATGGAGAATACCCGTCATATTATGCTTAGCTTCTACGAATATTATGCATGAAGAAGTATGTACCACAATAGATGGTGTCACATATTTAAATCAAATATCATCACGTATGCATTTGATGCAGCACCAGCACAATTCTGGACAAATGCAAAGGGTATCCGAAGTTTATAATCCACAAATATCATTTCACTCGCCTCGATGTGGATAGTCATCTTCCTCAGCCTTACGCTTGCGCGAGGGCGTTTCTTGTTTCTCAAGGACGCGCGACTCACTCAACAGCTGGATGCCATGGTCACCTTCATCGCCATCCTCCGCCTCTACCTTCTCCCAGTCCTCGTCGTCAGTTTCACTGCGAGAGTCTTTTCGAGTGCCTGTTTCTTCCGGGGAAGCTTCTTCCACGGTCTCTTTGTCCCACTGCAGATCTAGTCGGACGATCTTTGCGCCAGAAGGCTTCAGTCGACGATAGTATTCGGCCACATGGCCATCAACCCTAAAGCCGCGCGCAATATACCAGTTCATGGCATCTTCATTTGCCTCATGTACATGCGCTGTCACAGAACGAATGTTATAGTGCTTGACAAGCTCAGAAACCCGGTATAGTTCTTTGTTCTTGGAGTCTGGCGGCGACGCGAAGAGAAGCGCGTTCAAGAGTGATGCTGCCACACCATGGCCTCGATATGGCGAGAGCAGATGTAGGGTCTGGATATAGAGATTTGTAGTGTCTCCATTACCCTGTCTTTGAGGTTCCTGGGACGAGTCCTCGAGCTGGCGAATCCTCTCCAGCCGACACCGAATGCCACCGATCACTTTGTCTGTCCCAGCCACACCAACCCCTGGAACTTCCGCAACGGGGTGATCATGGTAAATAGCAACCCGCGACAGAGAAGCGATCACCGGATCAGTTATTGTAGCCGTGTAGAACGAGTTAGGGTAGCGGATTGGCAGGAGTAAACCCGTGATGCGCGTCAATGAAGGGATATGCGCCGTGTTTACTTTCTCAACAGTGATATGTGAGTGTGGAGTCGCAGTTCCAGCTGGAACATGAGGATATGGGTCAAATGTCTCTTCCTTGGAGCGCTTAGGTCCAGAAGCGTTTGCGACAGCGGATTGAGGCGGCTGAACGGGAGGGGGGTGGATTGGAGGGTTTGAGGGTTGACGCGGAGACGACGAAGGCGTAGAAGGAGCAGAAGACGAGGGAGTCCTCTGGTTCTTCTTAAACAGTTGATATGCCATAGTGAAAGAGAGAGTCGCAACAGAAGAAGGCGAATGCGGAGATGCGATAAGCGATAAGCAGTGAACAACTCTCTCCAGCCTCATCTCTTCATCTCCTCGGCACTTGGGCACTTTTGACGGCCGTTAAAGCTTTTGGACAATAGACTCCTTTTCAGGTGAGTGTTCTATAGCTATTGTGTGATTGACTGCATTGTCTACCCCTATTGTTGGTGATTCACTCAACGTCTCCTGCCTCTCCCCCATTGAGCCTCACTGACAACAGGCCCAGGACAATCCCTCCTCATTGTCTCTTCCGCTTCCTTGGATTCTATGATTTGGACTCCATATAAACTCCAACCTTCTCGGACTTCCCTCCACCGATTGCCTTCGCCTCGCATAGATTTCCGGTACATGGAGAACTAGACCTCGGACCGGCTGGTTCGAAGAACGTCATATCTGTTCGCTGGCGAACACAGCTGTCGGCCATTCGGAAGCTGATCTTCAACATTGTGCGCAACTTCCTCCGGACACAATCCGACAATGGCCGACTCCACCGGTGGCCGCAGGCCGACATACCCTGCTGGAACAATTGCGAAAGTGGTACGTGCAAAAGATTTTGCGGTGGGTACTACAGGTGCTGATAACTTTTTACTAGTCAACCGATATTCTGAACGAGATGTTTGGCAACATCATCCACGATCTCGTCGCAAAGGTTCATCGCGAGGAGAAGACGGCCCGGATGCGGTCCGCGGTAGTTGTCGCGAGACAGAAAGCAGAGGACCAGGCGATCATACCCGACGATACTCCCAGCAAGACCTCCACCGATATCAAGAAAGAAGTGATTCTCGATACCAAGAAACTGTCGACCATGCGCATGGAGACCGACGCTGCCACTTTCGACCGTGGCAAAGTCTTCCTCAAAGGCAACCCCCTGCGCACCGTGAAGGAGCTTGTATGCCCTGAATGCCGTCTGCCTCAGCTCATGTACCCAAGTACCGGGGCCATGTCCCGACCTCCCCCCGACTCGGATTGCGAGTACTGTGCCAACGGACCGATGATTACCCTGCCGGGCCACGATGTCCACGGCAAGCTCTTTGCTATCATGCCCAACCCCAAGAAGAAGAAGGGAGACCGCGACAGCACCATTCCCGAGATTCCCACCACCAAATGTCCTCTTTGCCCCCGATACTTTGTCATGAACCGCCTTGCACAGCACCTCGATCGTTGCATGAACATCTCTGGTCGCGGAAACAGCATGCGCAACAAGACCCCTACAGCGGACAGCAATGGCAACAGCCCCACTTCTTCAGCACCCAAGCGCGCACACGCAGATGAAGACGACGGAAGTCCCAGCCCTACTAAGAAGAAAAAGCCCAATGGACCCAAGAAAGGCTCCAGCAACAAGCCTGGTCCTAGCAAGCTTAAGCAATCCTTCACAGCTGAGGACAACGACGACGACATCAAGAGCGAGAACGCGGACTGAGTCACTTATCTTCATACTTTTTCCTTTTCTATCATGGTGTCCGCGGCGTTCGAGCTTTGTTTACTGGGCATATCCCACGGCGTCTCTGGGTTCGGTGCGGTCTGTCTTCGTGGGTTGTTGACCCCGAAGAATTTGCATAGATGAATGATGATGGGGGCTTGTAGGATTGTACATTACTTCATACCATGGAATACAGTGGACTATGGCACTGCAAGAAACATGCAATTGATTTCTTTTATCATTATCATTATCTCTGCTTCATCGTACTAGCCTGACTGGCGAAGATATTGCACTTCCGTACTATACAGGCTCAATCAATGTATCCAAGCCGAGTCTACTTCGGATCATATAAAGCCCCTGTATGTCTCTCTCCTTCAAGCATGGCGGTATTTGCCTCGATGGAAATGCCGTTAGACTCTCTATCATGGAGTGTGGGAGCTAGTAATATAAATATATACTCAATTCTTCTCATGCCCAAATTGTTATGCTGAGCTGCACATAGCTATTCGATGTTGACATTGCTCACTTCATTCCGCTATACTTCAAACAAACATTGCAAGTGTATACCTCGTACTTCTTACTAACGTACCATTCTGCACACTCAACCGCAAACTCACAACATCCCGTCAGCCAGCGCATTGGGCACAATTCCACATTCAACCCTGGGGCTAAGTAGAAAGGCATCGCGCCATTTCTCAGGTGCATCAGGTGTTGAACTCCAGAGCTCGTCAAACTCGCTGACTCCATACTTGAGGGGAACCTTGACTTGATGAGAATGTCGATGCCAATCCCGCAGCCAGGTTGTACTGATTTCCATAATTCCACCCACAGGAGCGGGTTTGTTAAGACGCGCCGAGTGTTTTGTCACTTCAGGGTCTGCAAGAGACATATTTGGGATCTTCAGCATCATTTGATCCTTCACAGGGTCAAAGTTCCCATGGCTCGCGCCTGGCTCGATGAGGTTCGTAAAGCTTTGAGTGTGGGAGAGGTTCATCTCAGCACCGATTCCAGAGGTGATCAGGCCAGCAAGTGAATATGAATATCCTTCAGTTCCTGTATAGGATCCAGCAGTGATTGTGGCCATCATAGCACCAATAGAGTGTGCGAGAAGGACAACAGCCGATGCACCCGAAAGCTCTCCATATTCCTTCCAGAGCGCAGGCAAGATAGTCTAGTGATGTATTTTCCCTGTCGTTCAGCATATGTCTTATTGGCTTCGAATTTAAGTGGCATTCCGTACCATAGCCCGGCCGATTGAGCGCAATGACTGGAATCCCCAGTAGGTCAGTGACCCTGGTAATGGAGTACTCGGGGGAAGTATCGAAGTATTAGGCGTCGTATGTTCCACCATGCAGGCCGACAAGTAATGGCTTCTAGTTTGACTGCGGAATAGACAGAAGACCCGTTGCTATCTCTCCATCGGCGAGAGTCAGGTTGAACGACTTCATGATGTGTGACCCCCACATCAGGTTGGGTTTAGGTGTGTTATATGTGCCATTTAGCAAAGCAGTTACGCCTGAGGAGGCGAGAGTTGCGATCTTCACCATTAATGTAGGGGAAAAATAGCCTGGAGATGAAGGAATCAACAGTAGACGAGTCTATACTTCCAAGGCGGTGATAAGTGGGGACTTGAGTCCGACACTTCATCTCTTCGACGTTTCACAACATGGCCGATCTCAGCGCATGGGCAGCTCCTCGCCTCTCTCAGCTTCTTCCTCTCGATGAGGAGTCGCTGTCACAGGTCATCGAATATGCCGCTAGTCTCTCCAAGGAGGCTTGCGCCGACCACCTCAAAAACCTCCTCGGTGACTCCCCCGCCGCCCTCGAATTTATAAGCTCGTTCAATACGCGCCGCGATGCCCGGCAACCGCCTCAGATGACATCGACCCAAAGCAGAGATGCGCCGCGATCATCGGGAGCTAAGAAGGGCAAAAAGAAGGCTCCGTTGCACAGCGCTGGTCCACCACGCCGCCCAGACAACTACGGCAACGTTGGAGGGGGCTACATGAAGGCCGAGGAGGAGGAGTATATGTCCTCACGCAAGCCGACTACAAGCCTCGCACCCTCGCAGCCTACCTCCTCGCAATCGTCGCGTGTACCCTCTCCCTTGCCCGCATCATCGCCAAAGCCACCGCCATCAGCAAGCGGCCCTACAATTTCGGATATGCTACCAAATGTACGATCAAAAACAAGCAAATCAACTCGACAGGCTGGATCTGGATCAAATAACAAGGGTGCGGCTCTGACGACGAATAACATCTCAGACCTTACTGCAGCTATCGCCGCCTTGGAAGTATCGACAAACCCGACACTGGAGGAACGACGCAAGTGCAACTGCTACGCCTCTCTTCACCCGCTATTTGATCCAGCTCCGAATTGTATGAACTGCGGGAAGATCATTTGCTCGCTCGAGGGTCTACAACCATGCTCCTTCTGCGGCACACCGCTGCTCTCCGCAGAGGAAGTGCAAGACATGATCCGAGAACTACGTGCTGAGCGTGGACAAGAGAAGATGCGAGTACACAATGAAGGTGTTCACCACGAAGGAGGGCCTAAGCCTACATCCGGGTCCGGGTCCCCCAGTAAACTCGATGCCGCCAAGGCTCACCGGGACAAGCTACTTCAATTCCAAGCCCAGAGTGCCCGTCGGACCAAGGTTGTCGACGAAACAGCTGATTTTGAAACACCCAATGTCGCCTCGACCTTGTGGATGAGCCCCGTCCAACGCGCTCTGGCGCTTAAGAAACAGCAGCGCATTCAACGCGAAATGGAGGAGAAGGCTCGTCCCGAGTGGGAGAAAAAGAAAACAGTCATGAGTCTGGATATCAAGGGTGGCAAGGTCCGTCGTGTATATCATAATGCTGCAGCAGAGTCAACGCCGGAGGCCAGTGAGCCCGAGCCCGCCGAAGAAGCTGCCACAGAGCTTCCACGAGGCGAACATGCTTTCAGTCGGAACCCGCTTCTTGCAGCCGGTGGTCTTCTACGACCTGTCTGGAAGGCTCCGGAAGGGAAGACGCCCGAAGCAGCGGAACAGACTGAAAGAAAACAAACCTGGCGACGGGTACAGGATGACAATGACGACAATGAACAGTGGATTCTTGATGGTGGAGTACACGGGCATACCACCTAGTCCGTCAACGCTCTAGAGTATGAGCGCAAACTACAAGTCACAAATAGCACAGACAGGGCGGGTGACTTTACAATGCTTATTCCAAGCTCAGAGACCCGTCTCAGTGTGATCCCCTAATCCCCTTGGGAAGATCAAGGCTTATCATAGCCTGGAATTGACAGCTCTTCGGTCCCGCAATTTCCAACTTCCGCCATTCTCGGAGCGGATATCTAATCATCCGTAGATCGGTTAACGGCGGTGATCTCGGAGATCCCTGGAGAAACCGCAGTGGAGTCGGGGAGTAATTCTTACGGCGTAACTAGTTGCATAACCTCCACTTTATGTATGGGGTGGTGCAGCTCGTTGTTTCTATCTCATCGGACTTGTTCATGTAATCTAGTCACACTCACAACATATATAGTGCCACTGATGAAATATTGGACAGTCTCTACACATAACCCAACCACAAAGCGAGTATATCATGCATTATTTTGCCACGTCTCGCGTTAAGGAACATACATGTGTACTGGACATCTTGATCCAAGTAATAGAACGTGTAGCTTGTCCCACTGAGGGCACCGTAGACTGACCAACCCGACTGGCCGCGTTTCCTTCTACCAGCCTGGATCATAGCCATGTAGGTCAACAATTTCCTAGCTTCACCGTCGTTTTTAGCCTTGATGATAACGACGTGATATGCAAGGTTATACTGTTCTCTAAAAGTAGGCTATAATCGGCCCTGCCTATACAAAGATGTGGCTCCTCTTAATATATGATAGGATCCCGTGAGCCAAATTAATGCAAGCCAGTTACTAAACGGTTTTGTACCGAGAGCGAATGGTGAATTCTATAGATGAGCGCACCTATTTGCCATTAGAAAGTAAGCATTAGGGAGTAAGCATTAGAAATGAGCATTAGGGAGTAAGCATTAGGAGCGAGCATTAGTAAGTGGTAATACCTAGGTAACCTAGATACGTTTCTGTGGGCTTTGCACATCGTGTCAAGTTTCCATGCTCTTTTAGGTAGAGGACTGATCACAGCTAGTATAAACCCAAGGGTATAACAAGTCTATCTACTCACAAAAGTCGTGTGACAGGCAAATCTGCACTTGTGGGGATTGCCACATCGCATATCCATCGATGTCTTTAGTCGAAAAGCGTGGTTCGTGTCGTAGAGGCTCATATTTGGAGTGGTTAACTCGGGGTAACTCGATAGAAGGTTCATTGGTGTGATCTCCGAGGTACGCTGGAACGAGCTCTTGGAGCTGCGGTACCAAGCTCTAAACTCCCGAGACCAAAGTCCCCTCGGGAGTTTTGAATTAGATATTTTGAAGTTATCTCAAAATCTACGTTGGTTGCATTGGAAGAAGCAAGCAACTACTATTGACTCACACTTTAACTTCGTCGACAGCCGTCATAATACCACCATTTTAGCCGTCCTACTTTGGCTTCTCTTTTTTTTCACGTCTTTTTTGCCCATTTTCGAGGGCCTCGGTTTAGTCAGCTAGATGATATAAAGGCGGAGGGTGTGAAAGACTCAGGGTCTATAAATGTAGTAACGTTATCTCTCAAAGTAGTATCTGATCTAACCGAACACATGCCTTAATTATCCGTTGATATAAAGAGGCTGTCTGACTGGCGCAGTCAGGCCCAATCAATATCCTTGGCTACATTCCATGTGAATATCTGACACAGATAAGAACATAGTGTGCCTGACATGACAACTCTGTGACTAGGGCTTCTCCTACAAGAGACCGTAGCCAAACATTCTGGTCGCACAGTCCGACACGATCGATTACCTAGTTAGGCTTGTTACATTCCTAGAGGCTACTGTACCGAATTTGGGAATGATGACGAGCTTCGCCCAAAATAGAAAGGACACACTTTTGTATATGAAACGAGACTGTTGAATATCTATCTACCTTACCTCATAAACTGAGGTCCAAAGACAACTTTCTTTAGAGAGAAAACACAAGGAAAGCTAAAATCCCCGCAAAAGTACCACACATAAATTGTGCTTCCCCGCGGCTAAGAAGTTCACGGCTTACAGTATAAGCACTAAGATACCTCATTCATGTAGCCACAACCCCCAACACCCGCCTATAACCGAGCCAAAGAACAATTATCCGCTTGGGAATGAGCAGGTCATCATTGGGGATCCGCGTCCCCCCCAACTTGTTTCGTCGGATCCGGCGTCATCGACTACTCGGCTGGGCGCGGGTATCTTCGGCGCCGAAGTATATAAGCTGATTGAATACGACCTTCGAGGTTTTGCCCAACAAATCAACCACAAGATGCTCGTTGAGACATTACTGGACTGTTTGTCCTTGCAGAGGGTCTTGGGAGGGATAGCTGGCGTCCTGGCCCTAGCGGTATGCATATCCGAGCCAACTATACCTTCAATGTATATATAGATTCCGAACACTAACGCGTTGTTTAATAGACTCTCGCCTACTCTCTGTACAACCTCTTTATCCACCCTCTCCGCCGCATCAACGGTCCACTACTGGCATCCATAACACCCTGGGTCCAACTTTACCACGGCCTCAAAGGCGACCGCCATCTATGGCTTCACGATCTCCACCGACAATACGGCACACACGTACGCGTTGCACCGAACTTTGTCTCCGTAAACTCAGACCGCGGATTACACGATATCTACGGACACGGCAAGCGGCTACAGAAGGCAAAGTTCTACAATGCCTTCCCGGCCATCAAGGGCGTGTACAATACCCATAATGCAATTGACAAGACCATGCACGGCCGTAAGAGACGAGTACTCAGCCAGGCGTTCTCGGATAATGCGCTCAAGGGAATGGAGGATGTGATGCTTCTTCATGTGCGTCAGCTTTGTTCAGTGCTTGCTGGCTACGATGGGAATTTCGAGACATATGACCAGAAGGGCAATGTGAAGAATATGGGAAATTGGTTCAGTTATCTCTCGTACGATGTCATGGGCGAGCTCTGCTTCGGAAAGAGTTTCGATATGCTTGTCTCTGATTCTCAGAGACACAAGGTTGGACTGGTGGATCGCGCTGCGAACAGGCACTATGTGGTAAGTTCTGTTGTTAACTGTCCCTGAGAACTGTATCTGATTCGCACAGTGTGGACTATGGATGCCTCTCGACACATGGGGTCTGGACCAGATCTTCATCCGCAAGTTGACGCGCGACCGATGGAACTTCATCATGAACTCGCGAGTTGAAGCCAACGAGCGGGCGAAAGAACGTACCCAGATTGGTCATGATGCCAAAAAGGACTTCTTCTACTACCTGTTGAACGCGAAAGACCCAGAGACCGGCAATGGTCTCACCACGCCTGAGCTATGGGGAGAATCCAACGTGCTTATGATTGCAGGAAGTGACACAACCTCAACCACACTGGCAGCCACACTCTTCTACCTCGTCCGACGACCAGAGGCACTAGCCAAGCTGACCGCCGAAGTGCGAGGCGCCTTCAACGAAGTCGAAGAGATCATCACCGGCAGCCGACTCAACGAGCTGGTATACCTAAAAGCCTGCATCGACGAAGCTCTTCGTCTCGCACCAGCCGTCCCAGGCGCAATTCCCCGAGAGGTGATGGAAGGCGGAGCGGTCGTCGACGGCGTCTTCCTGCCGGCCGGTACAGACTGTGGTACACCGACCTACTCCATCCACCGACAGGAGAGATACTACCGCGAAGCAGGGACGTACCTCCCCGAGCGCTGGATCGAAGGCGCAACATGCACGAGCGCCGGGTTAACCTGGCAGACGACCAAGGAAGGGATTGAGACTGCTCGCCACGCGTTCTGTCCATTTAGCATTGGGCCTCGTGGGTGTATCGGCAAGAGCATGGCATTTATGGAGATGAGGTTGACACTGGCGCGGCTCGTGTTCCTCTTTGACATGTCATTGGCTGATCGCGAGGGCGAAGTTGATGGGCATTTGGCATTGACGGATCACTTCACCAGTGCGAAGAATGGACCTAATGTAGTTTTCCGACGCAAGTAAAAGAATGAGACTATTTTCTTATTTTCAGTGCTAAGTGTATATATATATAGAGTATACGGAGAGAGTAAAGAGAGAAGAGAGACAGGGGGGACTTGTTGTTCTGTCAGGACACGGTTGCGTGTCTTGGCATCAAACCCTCAAATCTTCAACTTCCACTCCGTGTACTCCATGTACTTGAGAAAAGGGGCATCAATATGCCCTCCCCCTTGACTGTGACATTTATACAGGCAACCATCCTTAATGCCATATCCAACGTCCTGGCCCAGCTGATCGACCAGCGCAACAGCAAAGTAAGTTAACAAAAGCCAAGTGACAACATAACTAACAAATCACCCAGTCTCCATTTCATCTCAACATAATCGCATTAATTCAATTCGTAACTTATGGCCTAATCATTGTGCCCCCAAATTTCTACTGGCAACGCGCCCTGGAAGCGCGTTACCCAGGCTTTCCGACACGCGCCGAGTTCACCAGCGCAGTCCGCTCCTTTTCACTGAAGGCAATCTTCTCACCTCGAGCATGGCTAGCTCTTTTTTCAGGCTCGAGCAAGGAGGAAACTCTCCCGAGCCACGACAAGGAGAAAGAAAAGCATGTCCGATGGGCACCGCGAGTCCAGAATTCGGGACTCCGCAATTTCATCATGAAGTTTTTCTTCGACCAGACCGTTGCGTCGGTTACGAACCTTGTTTTGTTTGTTGTTTTGATTAATCTCCTCAAGGGGGAGGCGTTGCCCAGGGTGTGGGAGTTGGTCATCGAGGTAAGCTACTTGCTTGCTCCTTGAGCGCGACCTTGTGGCAGAGACTGACTATAGTAGGATTTCCGGCCCATAATGAGTGCTCGTCTCAAGTATCGGCCTCTCGTCTCTATTCTAATGTACACGGTTATCCCAGTGGACCGGCGGGTTGTCTTTGGGAGTGCCTGTGGGGTAATTTGGGGTATCTATCTGAGTCTATACGCGGTTGTTTAACGCGCTTTTCATTTTCATTTTCATTTGTATTTCAGCGGCTTACAATAGAATAGGCAGGAAAGGTATTCATTTAATTGACATTAATATACGTGTAAATTATCCTAAATCACTACAGAGGTATAGGTATAAGCTCTAATGCACTGTTCACCCAGCACAGACCGTAGATCATGCCACAAAAGAGAAACGAAACAAAGGTTGGGAAAGGATATGCAAGAAAGACGCGCTCGTGTTCAGATATAACCTCACACGGCGGCCATCTCTACTTTCTTGCCCTTGACCGAGATCCACTCAACAAAGATAGGACCGACCAGGGACAATGCACTCATCGCGACAGCAACATAGAAGGTCTCAGTGATGGCAGCGTTGTAAGCAACCAGTACCTTGTGGAGATCAGACCCAGTCACAACAGAGCGCAGCATAGTAGCACCAGCCGAGACGAGTTGAGCGGCATTCTGATCCGGGGCATAAATGGCCAAATTATGAAACAGTTGGTTTTGGAACACATTCTGCCCGACGGACACGAAGATCGCACCACCAAGAGTCTGCGCGAACATAACAATCGCCGTACCGCTGGGAACATCTACAGTCTTGAGAGCAGCCTGGGCGACAATCATGGGCTGTTGCATGCCTAGACCGATACCGATACCGAACAGGGCCTGGTATCCGATCCACTTGGAGTGATTCGAGTCTGTTTCCAGAGTGGCCAGGAGCCCGGCGGCGATAGCCATGGTGATCGATGAGGCGATCATGAATGGTGTATAGTAGCCGCAGGCAGTGACGAGACCACCGGCGATGATGGAGCAGACAATAACTCCGATGATCATGGGTAGATTCATGATGCCTGACTTGAGGGCTGTTGCGCCTTTGATCGACTGGAACCAGATGGGGAGCTATGGGATGTTAGGACTTGTAGTCGACGTCGGCGGGGGACTTGGGGAAGATCTTACATAGAATGTCATGACGAAGAAACCAGCACCAAGAGCCAAGGCAAACCAGGCCGCGCCCCAGACACTACGGTTCTTGATCAGTCGAGGAGGTATAGTAGCTTTGTCTTGGGCCTTGTACTGAATGCCCGTGAAGATCAAGAGGAGCACACCACACACGACGAAGAGACCGATGATACGTCCATTGCTCCAGTCATACTTGGTACCACCCCATTGCAGAGCCAACAGCAAACTGATAATGGCAGGCAAGAAGAAGAACGAACCAAGCAGGTCCAGCTCCTTGATCTGCTCCTTGAAGGTATTCTTGGCCAGGATAGGCTTAGGGTTCTGGAAGAAGGCCAGCACAAAGAAGAAAGTCACAGCTCCGATGGGCAGGTTGATGTAGAAACACCAACGCCAGGTGAGGTGATCAGTGAATGCACCACCCATACTGATAGATATTAGCAATCCGTAAACAGCAAGGGAGATAGAAGCAACTTACAGCGGACCCGCCACATTAGCAATACCGGCCATCGATCCGATGAGACTAGTATACATAGGCCGTTTGGCAAGAGGAACAGTCTTGCTGATGATAAGAATAGAACCAGAGAACAACCCAGCAGCTCCAAAGCCGGCAACGGCACGACCGCAGATGAGACCGACCGAGGTGGGAGTAGTAGCACAGACAAGCGAGCCAATCTCGAAGACGATGAGCGCAGTCAGGTAAATCCACTTGATCGAGTAGAAAGTGTATAGTTTGCCGAAGGTCAGGGTGACCGCGCAGGTGGTTAGTAGATAGGAACTACCGTACCAACCGACATCTTCGAGGGAATTGAATTCATCTGTGATTTTGGGAATGGCTGTTGCAAGGATTGTGTTGTCCTAGTTTGATGTTAGGTGTATGTAGAAACAAAGTATGTCGGGGACGTACCAATGTCACGCAGAAAACGCAGAAACAAAGACCGATAGTTATCAGGGTCAATTTCCACGCAGACGGATATTCCTCGTCATCTGGTGTTTCGGTTTCACCCTTCGCTTCTGTTGCTACTTCCTTGTCTGAATCTTCCTTTGGGACATTTTCCTTGGATTCCTCCTTGGGGTCCTTTTCATTGGGAGTGGAATCCTTGTTCTCGTGTAGGATGGGCTCTGGGGTATGAGGGCCCGGACTCGGGCTGACAATTGCTTTTTCGGAATCTTCATTCAGGATTGAGTTCCTGATCGACTCATCGATCAGAGTACTCTCTTTCTCGCTGGATGGTTTCGAAGTCGGGCCCGGAGAAGGAGACGGTGTGTGGCGAACATCGGTAAGTGAAGCGTTGTTTGTTTCCTCGGGCACATCGGCCTCTTTAGAGGATTTGAAACTGAAGAATCTCATAACGAACGAATTAAAGAGCCAACAAGAAAAATCAAACAATGCCCGGATTTGAGCTTAACGAAAGTTGGGACAAAAGGACAAGAAGAAGGGAAGGGGCCTGCAGACATTAAAAGGGCAAATTTAGCCAAGATTAGAAACGCGACTGCCCTTCGTACAGGTCGCATCAAGGACCTGTGGGTTCTGCCTAGGAAAGGAGAAAAGGGCCAATCCAAGTCACACCGACACTGCGATCGTTTTTCAAGATCCCATGTGGTAGGTGGTACAGTCCGCCAAGCTGCAGCTGCAGGTTAGTTAGGTCTGGAGTAACAAACAGATACGGGAATGACAGGTAATGCCGAACCTCGAACCCAATTGAGGTTGACGAGATGCATGGTTAGCAGTAGTTTGTCGATCCCGGTCATGAGACGTCAGAAAGGAACACGAATGAAATCATGAACTGAGTCAAACACTCGCTTGAACGCGGACAAAAAGTCGAGTTTAGCTGTCGCCCAACCTGGGCAGTCAGGAGTAATGCAAGGATCAGGCGAACATTATTCGAATGCTGCAGGAGTTTATGTGTAAGTCCCAGTTGTGATTGTAGTCCAATCAGCGATCAGTGGGTTTGAATAATGAGACGCCCCTTGCTCAACTCTCCAAGAGACAGAGACATGACTAAAGGGTTTACACCGCTGTCCATAGGGGTAGACATGGGATGTTATTAACGGACTAAATCCGGCCGAGCAGAAGACGAGACAATTGTTAGTTAGAGGAGTTAATGATGTTCACATTCATCAGTTCATCGGATTTAATACTTGATGACAGGGGCTAACGGGATTGGGATTAGCGACACACAGGTACCACGGGAACACATCGGACTTCGGGGTTAAGCTTGTTCGGACTGCCTCCATGCATACACATCTATACATCTATACATCTATACACGTTGCACGTTCATTGTTTAGTCGTTCACTGTTTGTTATACACTGCTCACTGTTATGCTACAGAGTGGTAGAAGAGGTCTCGGAAACGAGGACACTGTAGACACAGTAGCGTTCTTGCTGGTAACGTTACTATTGGGACATCATGTCTCCAAGGTAGCTATCAAGGTAGACCAAGGTAGATCAAGTAGATTCTCTCATCCAGCTAAATACAACCAATTATGAAGCAAGATGCACACGGCTGACGAAGACCGTTCAGTGATCTATATGCACTGACATCATGTACGGTCATAAAAAACGCCGTTTCCACAGACTCGTTAAGTCCGGGCTAGTATTTGTAATAGAACACGAGCTTAACTATAAAAGGACCCTCATTGGAGTCTATATCCCATCTCTCATCATCATATCTCACTCTACAATTACACTATACTACGCTATACTATCACAATGGAGCTCTTCAGACCCGCCCCGGAGCCCGCGACCCCTCTGGGCCGCTACCGGATCCTCTCTTCAACAGCAGGAGTCCGCGTCTCGCCCCTCCAACTAGGTGCCATGTCAATTGGCGACGCCTGGAGCCAATTCATGGGTAGCATGAACAAAGAGCAATCCTTTGCCCTGCTGGATGCTTTCGTAGCCGCCGGAGGCAACTTCATCGACACGGCCAACAACTACCAAAACGAGCAGTCAGAAACGTGGATAGGCGAATGGATGGCCGCTCGCAAGAACCGCGACCGAATGGTCATCGCCACCAAATTCACAACCGAGTACCGTAGCCACGAAGTCGGCAAGGGCATGACCCCCAACGCGAGTGGTAACCACAAGCGCAGCATGATCCTTAGCGTACGGGACTCCCTCCGCAAACTGCAGACGGACTTCATCGATGTCCTCTACCTTCACTGGTGGGATCACACCACCTCGATCGAGGAAGTCATGGACTCGCTCCACATTCTCGTCGAGCAGGGCAAAGTCATGTACCTCGGTATCTCCGACTCGCCCGCATGGGTCGTATCCGCCGCAAACACATACGCCCGCGCCCACGGCAAGACACCCTTCTCGATCTACCAAGGCCGGTGGAACGTGATGCGCCGCGACTTCGAGCGCGACATCCTCCCCATGGCTCGTTATTTCGGAATGGCCCTGGCACCGTGGGATGTGCTTGGTAGCGGCCACTTCCAGACAGCGAAGCAGATCGAAGAGCGGAAGAAGAAGGGTGAAGGTTTGCGCAGTATGATGGGTGGCGAGCAGACCGAGGAGGAGAGAGCCATCTCCGAGGCATTGGCGAAGGTTGCAGCCGAGCATGGAATCGAGTCTGTAACGGCGATTGCGTTGGCATATGTGCTTTGCAAGGCGCCAAATGTTTTCCCGCTTGTTGGTGGACGCAAGATTGAGCATTTGCATGATAATATTCAGGCTTTGTCGATTCGGTTGACGGATAAGCAGATTGAGTTCTTGGAGTCGGCGAAGCACTTTGATGTTGGGTTCCCTCATGACTTCATTGGTACTGATCCACGACACAATGGTGGAAAATCGGCTCCGCTTGTGGCTTCTGCTGGTCCTATTGACTATGTGCAGGGACCTAGTGCTATTGGATATGAGCCTACTAAATAGGTGGATTAATGTATTTAAAGCTGTGTTGACAATTCTCACCTCTCATGTTTATATTTGAATACAGTTCATATTTTTATATTTTACTGAGCTTGGAGGTTTGAGAGAACAATTTTGATTGTAAAAAATAACAAGAAATGGAATTGAGAGGTGTAGAAGCCTAGTTCAATGCAATGTGCTAATATCGCCATTCCACGCCGGGAAGGTCTCAAAAGGAAAACGTCTGCAACGCCAAAGATAAAGCCCGACATATTGTGACATCTTTCCGGGAAATATACTGCAGATAGAAAACAGGATCGACCTGGCAGGTAATCTCTGCGCGTTGGCAAATCGACCGTCAAGACCTGAATTCCGATTCCGATTCAGCTGACAGCGTTGCCATGGGTATGAATGAGGTGAGGAAGTTTTAAGAGGGTATTGAAAAAATTGAGTAAAGAGGTTTCCAAGGTGGGCCGGGGAAAGATAAGTGATGGCCGGCGAGATCGCGGGAGGGCCAAGTGCTAGTCAGCGGGGGAGGAAGATCCATCATTCTGTAGGACGGACATAAAGGCATGAAAAGCGCCAAGCACTCAAGACTCATGAGGAACCTCAAGGTCCCCGTCCTTGCTAGCAACGAGCGCAATCAGAGCTGCGCCGACACCGCTGCCATCCTTGGAAATGCCAATGCGGATCTTCTTGTCGCCGGCAGCACCGACCTCGGGGACCTCGCGCAAAGCCTCGCGCATGTGGCCCTCGAAGTTGGGATAGAACTCGACAAGACTGCCATCGACACCGATGTCGACGATATCATCTGTCGCGAGCTTGTTGGTGTGAACCAATATCGCAGCCAGAGGGACGGCGCTCAGACGAGCGGCACGCTTGCCGATGGCGTGGACCAGGACCTTGACAGCCTGGCACTCCTCGGTGCTGGGGTTCTCAATCTCGAGGTGATCCTTCAATGCGGTCTTGACATCCACCAAGTCCTTGCTGCTGTCGGCCTCGACCGCGCTGAGCAGGCTGGTATCAAGACCCCATTGACGGAAGAGCATGGACTTCTCAGGAAGGACAGTCTTGGAGTTTTTGTTGGCCTTGAACATTCCAAGGTCGGCATTGTGGTGAAGCGAAAGGAGCGCACGGCGCAGAATCTCGCCCAAGAACATGCCGGAGACGCGCTTCTCGAACATTTGCACACCAGGGTTGTTGCTGTCGGCATCGAGCTCGTCATCAAATACCGTGGTGGGGAGCACGCTCATGTGGTTATCGAAGCTACCCCACTCGGCGTTGATGATCATCTCGCCAGTGGAGTGGTCAAAGTGGGCATCCTTCATGTCCTTCAGCTTGGTGATGTTGCTGGTCTTCTCGACGTAGGCGCCATTGGTACCAGTACCGAAAATAGCACCAAGGAAGGTTCCGGTCTCACCGGGCGAGGTGTAGGAACGAGCCATCAGAGTACCGACAGTGTCGTTGACCAGGGCAGCCACGCGTACGGGGAGGCTCAACTCGTCAATGGCCGACTGGAGCAGTGCGCATACATCATGGCCCACGGCATCGGGGATGTTGAAGCCCTTGGTCCACCGGATCAAGGTTCCGCGGTTAATACCGCACTGGCGCACAGGGAAACTGAAGGTGAAGCCGAGGTCGAACAGGTCTTCCTCGTTGTTGCCCTGCTGCCGACGGAGCTGGTGGGCCTCGAAGTGCTCGTTGTGGTGAATGCGCAGGAAAGACTCGATCTGGCGGGCCAAGAAGAGGAAGAGGTCCTTGGAGGTACCGGAGGCCATCAATTCCCGGGGAATGAGGATCTTGGACTGGGTGAGGGAGAAGGTGGTATCGCCGTGCAAAAGAACCGAGCAAACACGGAAGTTGGTGCCACCGAGATCAACGGCGAGATATAGGCCCTATTACAAGGAGATGAGTTTTCAATCCGCGACGTGGAATCTGCCAGCGTACCTTTTCTGTGCCATTGGGCACAGCAGTCACGAAGGTAGGGATCTGGCTCAGTGTAGCGCCCTCCTTGCCCAAGCCCTCATCGGACTGCTTGATGTACTCGGCAACCCCGCGTTGCACCTGTTCCGCGGGGTATGCAAACTGGCCCGCAATGCGCGTGGCCTCGTTCAGTAGTGAGGAAGACATGGTGTAAGAAGAAAGCCGGCTGGTGTTAGGAGAGGGAAGAATGTACAGCGCGGCAGAGAATGAAGGAAGTTAAGGAAAAGAAAAGCGGGCGAAGATGACGGAGGGGTCCATGAGGTCAGATAAGTTACCTTGGCAGTACTTGGTTGGCCGTACCGACAGCCACCACTAACGATGTACTATTGCGGTACTGACAGTTTGCCGGCTTCACCGGAGCAAATAAACTGTTTGTACAGTTTATACGGGGTATTCCGTGTGCATCGGCCATTTAATTGCGCTTCTCTACTTGATTATATGATATGCAGTTGTATGTCTTGCGCCGGAAGCAGTCTCCCTGCATTCCAACCCTACATGTACAGAATACACCATGCCGCCTGTAATTTTTTGCTGTTTTCCTGTGACGCCACGAACCGTTTGACGTACTGTAGAATTGTGTGGGGATACCTGCATTTCTCCAGTTACACATTTTCCCCCGACTTCACCGGTGAGCCACACTGGTTAGGACAAGGGGAAAAATGCACGGGGCTCGTCTGCCTCATTGGACCAGATGTCGGCCCTAGTTTCTGGACTGCGTATGGGCATGTCGTAGCAGGTTTGGACTCTGTAGAGATCGGGATAGATCGGCCCCAACACGGCATTGTCATTCGGCTCCAATCAATGTGAATGGTCAATGGCCCGAAAAATCTACGGAATCCCGATGCCCCCAGGTGTTGAGACATTGTGGCTTTTCTCTTATTCATAGTTATTCTTTTGCCTTCTAGGGCAAAACAGTGGTTGCAAGCCACGTCTGCACTAGACGTCATTTTCACCCTTCTCCTCATAACATATAAGTTAATCCGGATGTTACAGTAGGCGCTCCATGCCTTCTCCATTCCCTGCTAGATGGACACCCTCCTTTTTTATAGAGAAGTTGGGTCGAACCAGTGTTATGTTCTTGAGTATTGAGCGCAATTACATTATTTCCTGGTCTCTCGGAAGCCTGAGGATTATACTTTCCTAATTAGACATTATCACGTGACACCCTTAATATTTCGCTTGATTTTATATTCATCTGTCCCTAAGGAAAAGGACTGGAGCCTCAAGACTTGGACGTTCTAGCTGAATGCCACTTCTAGCGATATACCGAATCTTTAATTAGATGGCTTTCTTCTAAGACATCTCATATAGGTACCAGTTTATAGCCTTCATCAGAAATAGAACAATTTACTTCAGGATAGAGTTTAAAAAGAACCGGTTTGAATCGGCATATGACTATGTTTGCATGCTGTTAAGGGACTCCCAGAAATTGAAAATCGAAACCTCATCCATCAGCGCGTCAATAGCATCTTCACCTATAGTTATTCCAGCCATAGGGTCATCGACCGAAATATCCTGTGGTAGTGAAGATTCAGATGAAGCCAGCTCTGGTATGGTAGACTGGGCCACATAGCTTGGGAAAATGTGATGAATAGCTGCTAGGAACATACCCCGGAACAATGAAGAGGATGGGTGGGTGTGTTGCATTTGCTCCAGAACCATCATGCACAATTCTAGTTTGTTGAGACCTAGACGCCGAGAAAGGGGACCGGGCGATTTGCAATTTAGAAGGTGGACATGCATGGCTGGCACTAATAGTGGTGGCCTAGAGTGATTGTCAGATATGTGCTTTTGTAAAAGTCTTTTTGTACCCACGTCATGGGGCCAGAAAAATCTAGCAGCTTCTCACGGACTAGACTGTCTAGTACAGCATTTGTCTGTAGCGCAGCGGTGTCAATTGAGTTTCGGACGTGACTTTGCCATGAGTTCTGGCGAGGTATTGGTAGCCCCTCGGGTGTCTTTGTAATGAACGGGCGATAAAAGGTGATAAGGAATGCTCTTTTGACTGTTAGAAGAGCTTTCAGACAGATCAAGTGCACTCACTGGTAATGAAGCTCAAGGTGGTATAAGTAAAAGGTCGCAAACGGACTTGATCCTGTGTCGTGGTTGGTTGGGAGTTGGAAAAGCATAATCTTTCGCTCGAGCTCTTCAACCTGTTGGAAAGACGGGCTGGGCCCAAACGGTTGATAGCTCAAGGTCAGAGTATCTCCCAAAAGCTGAGTGAGTTGTATCATTGTGACCCAATAGTCCGCCAGCTGTGGCAAATCCTTCGGGATATACGCGGCAGACCCAGGTAATTCAACAAAATCACTTAGCATATCATCTGCAGAAGGCATCATCGTGTTACAGTCATTCATGTTGATTCTCAATGGACGACCCATTGTAAGACTGAGCCAACGGTCTCGGAAGACACAGGTCCACCAAAGACGACGCCAAAGACGCTGTTGCTGCTCGGGGATAGGCGAAGTGGCGCAGACTGCACTAGAGAAACGATGCAACCCAATTGATTGACAAAGGCTGATTGCTACCCCAAGCCAATACCATGGTTGTGTGTGGGTATCAGCTTCAGAGTGGTAGAATCCCAAGAGTAGCGCCGATTGTAGGAGAACCGTGTGGTCTGTTTCGCCGCCAATATAGTGCAAGCACTAGTAACTCGCCGTTAGTACAGAAATCCGAGTTAACTGCTATGGCCCTTACCTTTGCCCGAGAATACATAGAGTCCTTCATATCCTTTCTGGACGAAAAGCCCTCTAGTCTCCAAGTATCGGCCGAGATATACTAAGTTTGCGTTAGTTAAATTGGATTTCTGAACAAGGGAGTGTTGTAGCTTCACATTTGCCGCAACAAAGCAAATGCTCCATATCAGTAGCAAATTATGTTGTGGGTTATCTCCGGACGGATATAATTGTGGAAGCGTGGTAGCGTCTACCACCGGCGTAAGGGGATGCACATGATGAAAATATGCCTGCAGAAGCTCATTGTAAGTCTTCTCCCGAGGCAAATTGAAGACACCCTTGTATTGCAGGTATTCTTTATCTTCAGGGGATAATTTGGTCGATGTTTTGGAAGTGAGTAAGATGTGCCTTTGTACAGGCTGCCGGGGAGATGAACATATATCGAAGACACCACCAAATCCAGGAGAATCACCTATAAACTTAAATAAGCGTCATATGAAGCAATATGCCTGCATGTTACGAACCAGTATAGAATGGCGCTTGGCCATTTTTGTTGTTTCCCCCCAGAACTTTGGTTGCGATCTCAACGCCGGTCTGCTCTTCATCACGGCGATGCGGATATTCCGGGGGATGAGACACACTCCTAGCGACAGCTACTGGAGGTCGAATAAAATTTTGCACCTGAGAGGCATCTGGAAATGCATCCACTGAAGTCGAAGACTGAGAGACCATCCCGGTAGGGTGCGTATTGACCGGGCTGCTGACTGCAGACGCAGCTCGACGTGCATGTTTTTCACGCATCCTAAAAAAGTTAGTATTGATGCCCCAGCAATGACGGATAAGTCCTCACGTTTGGGCTTTTGCTGGAAGATGACATTCTCTGCCATCTTGTGTACATCCTATACACGGGACGCCGGTCACCGTCACGCTACAACGGACTTTGCGCTGCCTGCAGTTTTGACAGGCAGCAGCCGATCGATAGCGGCGCGTGGACATGGCAACTCTGTCAATTTCACTCTCTCCTTGATGAATCCTCGGGATGCCGAGAGTCAGATAATATCTAAGTCCCGAGCTAAAAAAATGCCGAGGTAAGCAAGCCTACGTCATTCCTTGCCGAGGTATCCGACATTATTTCCCTCAAAACACAAACCTGCAGTCTTTTTGCAGTCTCTTTGAAGAAAACATTGAATTATAAAAGATTCCAATATGACTTCTATGGAACATAACAATTTATAACTCAAGGTCCTAGAAGACTAATTCCAGTAAAGGCCCGGTGATCCTCGTAGTAGATCTTCTCCTTATGGTTGCCGTCCAAATCGCATCGGTAGATACTTCCACCCAAATCAGTGAGGTAGATGTGGGAGTTGATCATATCCAGCTTCAACCCGATCGCTTCATTGAGACCCCTGGTGATGGTTTGATATATCCGAGGGGATTCAGCCGACAGAGGAAGACCGGTTCCATCTAAGCTGATTTTGTTCAACGAGTTGCCCCAGGGAATTTCTCCACGATCAGTCCAGTAAAGTGTGTGAGAATTCTCGTCCACCTCAAGATCAATCGGCTCGGGGAGGTCACTCAGAATGCACTGCGTATCATCTCGCAAACCTCCTGGCCGGCCCTTGGGTGTTGTGATATCGGCACAGAAGATGCGGCCTTTGCCACCCTTTGATGGTCCTTTCTGTGTCCAGTAGAACTTACCCAGGCGGGGGCTGACTGCAACGCCCACGCACCAGTCGCTGACGCTTACTTCTGAGGTAAGATCATGGGCAATATTGTCGATCAGAACATCCAAATTGGAGCCGTCGAACCCACAGCGATAAACTCGACACCCTTCGCGGTCACAGAAATAGACTTGCTGTGCGACATGATCAATAGCAAGTTGCTTAGGAGTATTTATAACACCTGGAGCAACCAGCGTCATGATATCCGACCCATCAAGCTTGGCAGAGTAGACTGCTCCGTCAGACTTCCCTGGAACTCCCATACAAGTCCAGAACATGCGGCCGGAGGCTGGGTCCACGGCCAGTCCATCAGGTAAGGATTGGTCTTTCAAGATTGTTTCATGAAGCTTTCCGTCAGCGGTGACCTTAAGAATTTGTCCTGACGTAGTGCTAGGCGTAGAAGCTGAGAGGCCCACATCCAAAACTAAAATGTCCGGGGCTCTTGAGTTGACCTTAGTGGCGGTCGATTTTTCGCCTGGAGCATAGAGACCGCCTTGCGAACACTTAGTTCCTAGCTTGCCTTGGTCAAGGTAATTGGTTTTCAAAAAGCCGACGGTCTTCTCCGGAGATAGTCCACGTTCATTCACATAATGACTCTCGATGAAGGCAACGGTGTCTAGGCCAACGTCTAAAATGAATTTGTCAGCCAAAAGCAACCCCCCATGCGAGAAACCAGGGTAAGTGACTTACTGTCCATCATCTGGCAGGGAAGGGATGCCCCTTTGACGAACATCTCAAGCCACATGGCATCAATTTCTTCGGGAACTGAAACACCCTCGGCAAGAATAGTCAAAACCTCCCGCTTCACAGCAGCCCAGAGTCGATTGAAAATGAACCCAGTAGACTCTTTCCTTGCAACATAAGGGATGGTAGCGGCCTCCTTAGAGCGTTCAACCATGAAAGGGAATATCTCCGGAGAAGTATATCCATCAGTCATGAGCTCCACAATCATACACTGAGGTGGCATATAATAATGCATGTTCAGAATGCGCCCCTTAGTCAGATCCGTGACGCCGCTGATCATCTCGGAAGACTTGTACGAAGATGAGTTGGAAGCCAAGATGCAGTCTTCCGCAGCAATGGCTTCCAGTTCTGCAAATGTAGCAATCTTGAGTCCGATCTTCTCGGGAACAGCTTCAATGACAAGCCAGGCATTTGCAACGGCATCTTCCATGCCTTCGAATGCCTCAAAAGACCCGGGGACTTTTCCGGTCTTCGCGCTGTATGCTTGCACATTCTCTTGGATGTATGCAATTCCATCCACTCGTTGTTGCTCGCTGGGGTCTCGAAGTCGAACATCGTAGCCGGCTGATGCCCAAACGCACCCTGGTGTGGAAAATCTTATCAGCATTAAAGTACATTGAACAACATACCGTAACGTTATGTGATACGTACCTACTCGACGGCCGAGTACACCCGCGCCAAGAATAGCGACGGGGCGATTGCGGTAGTCTCGCGGTGGTTGCCAAGTTGGCTTCATGTTAGATAGCAAGTAGTATGGATGTGGTTAAAAGGTAACTGAGATTTGATGTTCAGAGTGTCAAATATATGGGACTTCAGATGATTGCAGACATTCCCTTTTATGTCCCATGGCTTTCAGTATCATGCCGTTCATCCTCGGAAATCCAGCGACACTGAGACCGAAACCGACATCAAGGAAGCCGACAGTCCCGTTGATGGAACCGGGGGAGCAGGAATAGCAAACGCCGCTCGGGATCAATGCCTCGGAGTCTCCATTCTCGGGCCGTGAAAGAAAAAGAGCAAATCCATACCGAAGAATAATACGGAATATCGTTTCCTACTTGGATGGTCGAGGTCCTGTTTTGCTGCTGATGGGCCCAACACACTGTGGAGCACGATGCCGAGGTAGTCTACCTCGGAAAGCACTGGCATGGAAATACCTCATGTTCGTTTGGTTAGACAATCGGATTAAAACAAAGGAGAGTCAAATCTTTTCCCCCCCTCCCTGAAGGTATAAATGCATTTGGCCGCGAATCAGTGCCGCACCAAAAGTCCTCCGTTGTCAATCCTGCAACTCCCGCATCAAAATGTCATCTCTGAAAGAGTTCAACGTGAGCGAAGTGGCAGCTCATAATTCCAAAACGGATTTGTTTGTCATAATTCATGGGAAAGGTACTTTTCGTCTTTTCAACTTGAAGTTAGTCTAAGGTTCTGACATATCTAGTCTACGATATCACAAACTACGTACGAGACCATCCGGGAGGCGCGGACGTGTTGATAGATGTCGCCGGCGGAGATGCGACAGCTGCTTATGAAGATGTCGGTCACTCAGAGGATGCAAATGAGATTCTCGAGACATACTTGGTTGGAACCGTCAAGGATGCGCAACAATTCGTTCAACCCAAGACCGTTCGCGTGATCCAGCAACGCTCCTCCAGCACAGACACGTCCAAGAAAACATCACCGACCGCAAAAGCTGTAACAGCAATTAGCGCCACGCTTACTGCGACTGCAGTAATCTACATTTCCAGCAAGCATCGTCAGGCTCTTGGTGACTTGGTTACAAACTATACCACAGCTTCTTGGAGAATCACCAACACTCATGTGCCATACCTAAGTTTCCTCCGTGGTGGATTTTCAAGTGGATTTGCAGCTGCTACACTGGCATGTACGGCTGTTGGTGGAATCATAGGGAGTAAACTCTCCAGCTTCACCAAGATCGATTCTGGCTTCACAAAATACCGTCCACACATCAAAGCCTCTTCCGTGAAGAAGCAAAACCCGCATCTCACAAAAGGCTTCCTCGAACCCAAGAATTACAAAAAGCTCCCGCTGGTCAAAAAAGACCAGTTGTCGTCCAACGTGTTTCGCTTCGTCTTCCAACTTCCCAGTTCACGGGACGTAATCGGACTCCCCATCGGCCAGCATGTTGCCATCAAAGCCATGGTCAACGGTGCCGCTGTCTCGAGGTCCTACACACCGACATCCAACAATCTAGATCTTGGAAGACTGGAACTAGTCATCAAATGCTATCCGGACGGTCTTCTCACTGGGCAATATCTTGCGGCTCTCGAAGTCGGTGATAAGGTGGAATTCCGGGGGCCGAAGGGTGGAATGAAATATCACAACGGTCTTTGCAAGAAGATCGGCATGATCGCCGGTGGAACTGGAATCACCCCAATGTATCAACTTATCCGGGCCATTTGCGAGGACGACCGAGATACGACTGAGATCAGTCTGATCTACGCCAACAGGTCTGAAGAGGATATTCTTCTTCGTCGCGAATTGGAGACTTTTGCTCGAGCTTATCCCAAGAACTTCAAGCTCTGGTATATGCTTGATCATCCTTCTAAAGACTGGGCCTATGGCAAGGGATATGTCACGCCTGAAGTGATGGCTGCAAAGCTGCCGGCATCGGCGCCTGATACGAAGATCATGCTCTGTGGGCCACCAGGGATGGTGAATGCTTCGAAAAAGAGCTTGGTGGCAGCTGGTTTTGAAGCTCCTGGTGCTGTCGCGAAGATGTCAGATCAAATATTTTGCTTTTAAAATCGGCACGGTGGCTAGCTGCTTTTTGTCAACCCTAGATCGTTTGTTTAGATATTTGTAAATAGAGCTATTTGCCCATGTGTTTTTTTATTCTCGCCGTCAATCAACATTGAATCATGTATATACATGAATGGACTCGCTCTAATCTACGATAGACGTATTTTTCTACAAGGACGACAGGTATACAGAGCAGGATGTCTTTTTGCTGCCACTTCGTATTACAGAACCGAACGTAAGACCATGCTTGTGGACTACGGCAATTTTTTATTTTTATTTTTATTCTTTTCACCCTCTCTTCTAGATCGAGAAACCAATTCTTTCAACTTATTTTGAACCAACAAAAAGTCTCTGCATCTAGTGGTGCTTATCCATTTTTAGTTTGACCCTCAATTATTGGAGGACCTGCGAAGTTCCATAACCGGAGAATGCCGTGGCACCGAGTGCTATCACTACAATACACAGTGGAGGCCAAGTTACCTCGGAACTTTTCTAGCATCATTTTTGGCCTTCCGAGGTAGTGTCAGGCATGCAAGACCAATCGGAAACCAAGTGTGACCCACACACCGAGGAAGCGGCATCCCGAACTATGCAATCACCGGGGATATTTTTATCTACTTGAAACTCTTTTGTTGATATAAAGGCTTGTATCTGTGTTTGCATATACTATCTAAATTGCTCAGTACCTCATCACATCGCAATGCCCGCAAAGCAATTCTATCTCCTTGGAGAGGCAGTGTCCTCTGCTAGGAACATTGATTTCGATCCAACAAGTGGCTTAGAAGACCTTAAGCACTTGATTGCAGCTAACTTCGCAGTCGTTGAGCCTAATGGTAGGTTGAAAGCATGACTCAACTATCTCTTACGACTAACTGGTTCTCTATAGGTATCGGTTTCCAAGCTCAAGACTACGAGCTGAACGATGTTTCAGAAATCACTTCGGCAGACACACCAATTGCCATCACCATTGATGGGCACGCGATCCGTGACCCTCCGGGACCGAAGGGTCTGCCTATTGTCGGAAATTTCTTCGAAGTATACCCTGATCACCTTGGCAATCACCAACGTCTTTTCGAACAATATGGACCTATCTTCAAGACAACGAATCTCGGACGTTCAACCTACCATACCAATGATCCAAGTCTCGCCGCAATAGTTTTCGCCGAATCTGACTTCTTCACCAAGGAGATTAACGAAGCTCACCCGCTCTATCCTCTGAAGCAACAGGCTGCTGGTGTTTTCCTTGGAGATACGGACACTCCTGAGTGGAGAGTGACGCATAAGTTTCTACCACCAGCCCTTGGCCCTAAGGCTGTCCGTCACTACGCACCTATGATGCAGAAGACAGTGGAAGATTCTTTTGAGGTTTTTGATGCCCTCGATGAGCAGGGTGAAGCGTGGAACGTTTATCAGTATATGCTGAAACTTGGATCTCAGGCCGTTGGCAAGCTCACTCTTGGTTTGGATTTCCAGCATTTCACATCTCCAAATGCTCAACTCCATGAGATGGTTCATTTGATTGCGGATATTCTTGCTCTTAACAAGAAAGTCTCATCAAAGGGAGACTGGTACGGTCGACTACCTTTCGGTGATCCACAGCGGCTTAGAACGACCAAAGCCAGAATTGAGAAGCTTGTAGGAGAATCAATCAAGAAAGCTGAGAGTGGTGGAGTGGAAGACCTTCCACTTCAAGATGCGGCGCTAAAAGCGTCCAATATGGTCGGTGAGTAAATATCACACGTTATCTTTCTTCTGTTTAAATCCTAACTACTGTGCAGACTATGCAATTCGTGCAACCGACAATAAAGGAGAAAAACTTCCAAAGGACAGCTTGATTTGGGCTTTGCTCGTCGCGACAGGAGCCGGCTTCACAACTACAAGTTCTCTATTGTCCTGGTTGATCTACGGTCTCGTCACATACCCTGGGATGCAAGACAGACTTCTCCAGGAGTTAATTGACAACGGAATCGACGAGAACACCGAAATTACAGCGGATGTCACTGACCGACTCGATTTCCTCGACAAGTACATCAAGGAAATGCAGCGTCGCCACAACCCAAGTTTCCAGCCGGCACGAACCGCCAAGGTAGACCTCGTGCTTCCAGGTGGTTACAAGATCCCCAAAGATTCCGTTGTGCTCCCGGCTCTCCATCACATTCATAACAATCCTGATCTGTGGGATAATCCTCACAAGTTCACTCCTGACCGCTGGGACACGGATGAGGTCAAAAACAGACACAAGGCAGCCTACGTCCCATTCGCAATGGGTCCGCGCATGTGTATTGGGTTTAACTTCGCTCTTCAAGAGATCAAAGTCTTCCTTCCAAAGCTGATATATCGGTATAAATTCATTCGGGAGGGTGATGGACCGATCGAGTATGATCCCATGTTCCAGTTGATTCGGCCCAACAACCTCTACGTCAGAGCGGAAAAGAGGGTCAAGTGGCCGCCGAGGACCGATGCCTTGGGAAATGAGCAGGTTTGAAAGTCTCGAAGCATGGATAATAATGTATGCAGAGCAAACAAGTTCGGTAGTTTGAGGCGAGTGGAAGGCCATAGGATTATAGACATAGAACACGGATGCATATTCAAATCAATTACATACAATACATTAGTAACCAAATCCAAGCACTTGATACTTTGTGTCAGAATGTTGTTTCTCAGGATTACCTTGGTAATTAAATAGTCGATTATGAAGGATTTGAGGGCCTTACCGATCTACTTCATCCAAGCCTCGCGATGCCACAGATCGCGTGACGTCTTCATTCATCATTTTCAAGAGACAGCAGGCTAGATGATGATCTGAATTGCTTCTCTGTCATCTTGAACACCGAGGTCAAGCTCTTTCAACACCTCGGCTTGCCTCTCGTCAAACGGCCAGGGAATATGTATACATGGCCATTCTTCCTGCACCGGGCAGAGCATCTCGGTCAAAACTATGCTCGGATGTTGTGACACTCGCTGCTCCGATCGATGTGGTATCCATTGGTCTCTGCTTCTCTTTGCGTACATGTAATTATTATTTGGAGCATGTTGGCGTTGGTTCTCTAGTTGGGGTTTTCTAATACATGCCGACTTCAAGAAAAGTCAATTGATGGGAAATGAGTTACAAAGGTGTTCAGAAATATTCCGTCCTACAGAATAGAAAGGAAGACATCTCTGTTCACCTGGGCAGTTGAGAGCAAATATGACTAAGCACACGTGACCTCCAACATCCTCCGAGCGGATCGGGAGAGCGGGCATTGTGAATGCACTTCTATTCCCCTTCACAGGACTCGTCATTCACGAAAAATGGGTGCTGGCAACTCTAAGCCCGAGGCTTCGGCCGGCTCACAACATGTGTTCTCCAGGTAATTGCCCTCCGACCTCGCAGCTTCCGCCGCATTTGGTGCTGGTCGACCGAGGGAGCAGAAACAACCTCTCAATTGACGTCAATTGGGAAGAAGAGATGACATTGTCAAGATGAAAGCTCTCCCTAAGATGCCAGCGCCATATGCGATTTCGCGGAGCACTGTTAGAGAACTCTACAACCATAGCTAACCCATCCATGCACAGCAACTCGCCCGTTCAGTTCTCCTCGAACCTAGTGGACGCCCTCCAGTCCAACTCGGAGGTATGTATAATCCTGCCTTAACCAAGCTCCTAAAGCCAAACACAAACTCACCAACAATCAACCCAACCAGACCGACTCCACCCGCTCCAAAGCCCTGGAACTGGAGATCCAAAACCGCGTCGCACAGGAACTGCAACGCCTCCGCGAACGCGAGCAGCAAACCCTCGCCGAGATCGAGAAGCGCATCGCCGAGTCAAAGGACACAACCTCCCTGCCAGTCACAACTGCCACCGCCCCGGTCGCATCCAGCTCCTCCGGCTACCCAGCCGGCTCATTGGACCTGGACGCGCCGCGGATCCCCTTCGCGGGCCGAGAGCACGACCCCGTGGCCACATTCGCCGCGCCGCAGGAACCCGCCGCCGCACAGCCCGTGGCCAAGCGCGACGTGTCGCGCAACGCTGTAGCAGCCGAGATCGAGCAGTTGCGCACCAAGCTCGATGGACGGAGGAAGGTTGCGGACCTTGACGACAGCGTTGCCAAGGCCAGGTCGGATGTTGTTAGCTGCCTGCGGTTGAATGACCGTCGGCCATTGAACTGCTGGGAGGAGGTTGATGCTTTCAAGCGTGAGGTTGCGCGCTTGGAGGCCGCCTTTGTGGATCGCATTGTGGGTTAGATTTAAGCCGAGGACGAGCGGATATGAGTGAAGTCTCTACGGTTGTTTGGGCCTTATTGGATTGATTGGGCCTATTGCTGCTGTACTGTATGTATAGAACGTGCATTTTTCTTTGTTCCATTTGTTTTCACCCCATTAGGATAGAATTAATCCAAGGATGAGAGTGGATCTTGGTCAGTGGCTTTCAAGTCATTATATTGTAACAAGCAACTAGTATAGACTGGCCAGGGTCAGGTTACTGGGATAGATTTGCTGTATCCACAACTGGGTATCTTCGTTGCAAGGGTTCTTAGATATCATACAAAATCCCACATCGCTAATCGTCCACTCTTCTGTCCGGAAGTCCGAATTATACACATCCTTCTCTCGGATGATTTGACATCAGACTCCAGCACCTTAGACAGCTGGATACAGCCAACTCCTGTCCCTTTGGCTTCTGAGAGGTTATAATTGCCCGTGGTAACAAAGCCAATCAGATCATCCTCGGTGGGAACATCTAAATGCTCAGAGTCAGGTTCTCCAGCAGCAGAGCCCGAGATGAGAGACTCGGCAAGGAGACGTCGAGCCTCCTCGGAAGCAGGCTCAGATGTTGCCTTCTTCGAGGTGTTCGACCGACCAGCCTTGTGACTTTTAGAAGCAAGATCGAGCCATTTACGGCGTAGGGCTGGATCAGTAGGGAGGCGGTAGATTCGTGCATGGGGCGTAGGTGTACCGCGCCCAGTGAGAGATATATAAACAGTGGCAAGAGCGGAAGCATCAACAGATTCCTTGTTGAGCTTGTTCAGGGTTATGTGGGTATCCGCCGAGGCTAAACGGACATTGTGAATGTCGAGCGGTGGAACAGCGAGACAGGTAGTTTCATCTGTAACCTTCTCCTTAGACTGGGTCGACTTTTCGTTGGAGCTCTTGTCACTGGTGTCAACATTCTCAGTCTTCGAATCAGAAACATCTGGTTTGGGCCCTTGAAGGAGCCGTTCCCAATCACACGCCCAACCGCGACCAATCTCACCCTTGGGACGGTCCTCGCCCAGTAGGATATTGTCGTACTCGGCACGACGGCCCTTGGGACGCCGCTCCCATTCACGCCGAGATTTCTCAGTATCACGTTGTCCCCATTCCCAGCCAGCTCGCGTTCCTGGGAAGTCTCCAGGGAACCAAGGCTCACCCGCTTCGAACGCAAGCTGTTGTTGCTCTTTCAGGCCACCGAGGCATGGGTTTCCTCCGCTTGATAGTGGGTAGTACATGATGGAGTACCAGACTGGAACGACACATTTCCAAGGTAAAAGGATGGTGAAAGATCCCGGGGCATTGCTGCGCCTAGACCGAGCTTGCGGCTTGTTTGCAAGAATGATGACCGGGATTTGGGGGTCAGTCGGCTGAGCTGGCGGGAAGTTACCAGGCCCAGCAACGGTACGGCGCCTGTTGATGGCTTTCTGGCTCGGAAGCAGACGAGCTGCCGTCAACCGACTTGATCGGTCAAATAGCGAGGGCGAACCCTGTGTTTTGTCTGGATGCCATGAGGCGAGCGCAATAGCAAGGTCGCTCATGTGAGATTCGTTGTCGGGGACATGAATGGTACGTGAGGGGAAGTGCAGACGTGGATCAGCGATATCAAAGGAGAGGAGGGCATTTTGTGGCAGAGAAGAAGGATTTGATACTCCCAGAAGAGATTGCCAGACAGCTTCCGGGCTATTCTCTGGGGCTTTGCCGTCAGCTCCAAGAATTGGCTTCAATGCCGCCAGCAAAGCCTCTACAGATCCTGGCCCGGTGATTTCGATGCTGCCAATTTCAAATCGCAGGTCCTCTACCATGACAGGAGGATTCTGCCTCTTGGATACATCAAGAAGATCTGTCCACAGCTGAAGGAACGCCGAAGGGTGGACCCTGATGAAGAGTTTCCGATAATTCTTCTTGGATGTTTTGTGAGATTTGTCGGCATCAACCATCTCAACATCTTCTTCCTTGCGGCGGGCACACCAGATCAATGTAACCGGCGCAGTTGGACGTTTCGAATAATCCCTTTCGAACGTCCAGGCTTGCAGAGATCGAGTTCCTGCTCTCCATTTATTCCCTTTGATACCCCATGCATTGTCCCCATCGACACCAACTGCCATGAGAACAGCCTGAATCGCTGCCTCTGTGCCCTCCAGCTGAATAGTAGACATATAACTCATATCCCACGCTACAGCCCCCCTAGCGCCCCGAGCCCGATGAGTAGGACGGTAACTTTTTTCTGTGGGAGACAACGGAATAGCAAAGCGCCAGATTGGGTCTTTGCTAGTTGCCATATGGGCACGTTTGGCGTGGTACAAATGAGTGGGCAACCAGTGCTTGCACTTCTGGCGCTTGCGGTATTTGGGCTCTGCTGGCGTCGGTCTAGAAAGCTTGTTCTTCTTGATCTTGGGGACCCGCGGTGCGATATCAAACGCATGGCTACCCTCTTTCTCCAGGGTAATCCCATTCTCTTGGTCCCGCTTTTGCTTCGCTGCCACCCGTCGAGCCTTCGTCTTTGCGTTAATAGCCTGTAGGCGCCGAGCGGTTTCGAGTCGAATGCGCATCACGTGCGATGGTTTGCGTCTGCGCGCTGTGACGGTAGGTGTATTGTCCTCGAGCATCTAACAATTGAAATCGCGTGTCGGTCAACAGTCATACCTAATCAGAGATCACTGCTAAATACCTCTCGCTTCGCCCGAGCCCTCAACCTCCGCGGAACACGCTTCACATTGTGGCTCGCCGTTCGCCGCCGCAACTTACGGGGCACTTTTTGGAACGCCCGAGTCGTCAGAGCATTTTTCGACCGTTGCATTCCCTCCTCAAGCGCCTGGATCTCGAATGCGCGGGCTGCGGAGTAGGCGGCCACATCGAGCTCGCCCGTTGCGGAGAGGGCGGCGTCGGTCGACTGCACTGCCAAGGTGCGGGCGTCGAAAGTTTTGGCGCGCTTGCGAGCTGCCCCAGATGCGCCATTTGCACCAGGCGGAGCGAATGGCTTTCGCTTGGGGGCGTGGGAGGCCATGGCTACTGGTTGAGTTGTGTGTCGAAGTTGCAAGTTAAAAAAGTTGCCGGGCTTGGCGCGTCATGATCGGCGGCCCACTATGAAGTATTTACATGTGCTCTTATGAGTTAACTTTACTGTTTAACGGAGATATTAAATAGATCATTCTCATGACAAAAGGCCACCCTCATTATAAGTAGATAGTTCATATACGAATTGGTTACATATCCTTCCTCACATCACGACGGCCACATGGTCAGTCATATACTTCTTGATATCACCCAAGAAGCAAGCAGCCACGATTGAGATACCGCCGAACGCAATGCTAACATAGTATACCCACTTGTATCCTTCAGCGTATGCGAGCTGCCCAGCCTGCACAACCATCTGGTATGCAGTCTCGTTGCCAGCAATGCCAGGGACGTTGCGGATCTCGTCCAACAACGAGGCACCTGTCAGTTCGATTACTTCGCCAATTAACTTGACATCGGTGATATTGAGCTCCTTCATCATTACTCCACCAATGTAGTATGTTGCCTTGGGAACAAACTTGGAGATGAAGACGTTGTAGTAGATGGTGTAGCCAATGCCGCCGCCCACTACACGAATAGAGAGGGTGAGTGCAGAGATAGTGGCAATAAGATCCTTGAGAGAGGTTAGTCTTGGATTGACGGTGTTCTGTATATGAATCAACATACATCAGGGCAAATGATGGTCGTGATAATTGAGGCTGGCACCACGATTCCTCCAATTCCGAGGCCGGCAAGGACGAGGATTCCCCAAAGCTGATACATATTGTCGACTCGACCGATAGACATGGCGCCACATCCTGGTAGTGAGAGAACATTAGCATCCTTTCGTCCCAATATAGGAGTCCGTCGAACACTCACCTGCTGTCATCAGAATACTACTGATAATCAAAAGCTCTTTATTATGTCCTCGGAAGACACTAAGCAGAGCTAGCACAATGCACGCCCCAGCCATGATACTGAAACCGATAGGAATACTGCGAACTCCAACCATCACAGGATCATGACCGTAGACGTTGAAGGACTCCGTGGGCCAGAACATGAGCACGGAGAAGAAGTTTGCACCGGAAATAAAGGTAATGACGAGAGTCAGACCCAGAGTCCGGGGCTCTTGCTTCAGGCGAGATGGGAAGATAGGATATTTGGCTCCGTAGATCTCCCAGAATCCAAATGCGACAAGCAGGAAGAATCCGATGATCAATGGTGCCAGGACATGGGCAGAGCTCCAGGGGTACTAGAAAGAGTCAGTCGATTTAACATCCTCCATAGTTTATATCGAAGCATACCATGTATCCACCCCATTGCAAGCCGGCCAGGAAGATAATCAGGCCAGTGATACTGAGGAACCCACCAACAAAGTCGATGCGACCAATAATCTCCTTTCGGCTCATCCCAACAGAGTTCACTCGTGGCGGAGGGAAATAGAAGAAGATCGTGACCAATAGACCAAAAGCACTCCACGCACCGCAGAACGCTCCGACATAGCGCCAATGGCTGTAGTATGCGATAAGCTGAGCCCACAAGACCGAAGGGCAAAATGGCACAATCGTAAAGATTAGAGCGGACACATAGACCCCTCTCTTACGAGTCGGGGCCATTTCAGAAGTAGCAGCTAGGGCAGTCAATTCGTTGATTCCAGCACCAGCGCCAGCAATAGCCATTCCCGCTATAAGCAATGTCAGAGTATGCATTGGATAGTGACAACGACGATACTAACCGATGAAATAGTTCATTGAGTGCACTGTGCTGCAGACAATCATGCCAATAACGATCAGGGATGCGCCGATGATTGCGACAATTCGTCGGCCGATGAGATCAGACAGGGAGCCCACGAAAGGACATACACCAGCGAGACTGAGTAAGTTTGCAAGGACCTATGAAGAATGCTGTTAGTTGATTGTCTACACTCTCCAGGGCTATAGAATCTCCACTGACAAACCAGATCCATCGATCCGCTCCACCAATGTCTGCATAGATATAGGGGGGAATACCACCTGTAAGAATATTAGATGGTGACTTCAGGCTCCATTGATTATCTCATACCAAACAAATAGACCGGGATTTGACTTCCAGTCCACAAGAAAGCCATAGCAACAAAGCTCATGAAGCGGCGGAAGGTCATCTAGCTACCGTTAGTACATCGCACCATAGATCTCACAACAAACTCCTACCGGTATATCCATCTCCGACTCATGCAATCCTTCCTCGGACCCTGAACTAGCCATTTCCCGGTGACTAAGGCGTTGTTCAGAGTCGCTATTCTCCTGGTGCCGCACCACCCCCTTCTCGTCGACAGGGGTCGAGTGATCGGTTAAACCCGTCATAATGGGCAGATCTCAGAATAGAAAGAAAAGATAGAGAGCCCCAGAATAAATAAAGAAACCCGGGGGGATTGACGGGCCCACCGAACTAAGTATGTCAATTCCGATAGATCGAAAGTACGGGGAAATGAACAGAGACTAAAGGACAGGTTGAGAATATATCCCAAGTTTCACAAACGAGTCATGACCGAATGTATCGGAAATGCCCGCTTCGGGAACGAATGAAGAGGCCAAAACGGAGCTTGTCGTGGACTAACGACAAGCCAACGGGCTAAGACTTGACAAGTTTAGCGATAGCCGGGACAAGAATGCTTGAAATCCAGAAAATACCGAGGCAGCTTGGCAATTCGCGTCCAAATCTCCTCACTTTGGGGCCGATTCGACCCCCCCGGAGAAGGGAAATGCGGGGGAGAAAACGTGGAGATGGGAAGTATACACTCGGGCCTCGATCTTGTTTCGGGGGCCATGCCAGAAAGGGAAGAGCTCCGAAACTGTAACATTTATGTGTTAAATCTAGTAGATATGTAAAATGCCAGTGTCCAGATAGCTCATGTAGATAGTGAATGTTCAATATGAGACCCTGGACAATATGAGACCTGGACAATATGAGAGTCTTCAACTGTCACAGTGACCTCCAGACCATACAGCAAAGAAGCAAGAAGACGAGTCGAATACAGCGTAACACGGAAGCTTCCGCGTCACACGGTCGGTTACCCCGGATCCGTCATATCAAGCTATCACGATCCATGGCTCAAAAGTGGTCCCCGACTTTAGCGAGCTGCAGTTTCTTGGGGACAACAAAAAGACCCGTTGCCTCGACACAGAGTCGGCCTGCCATATCGCGGACTTCACACTTGGCATAGCCCTTACTGTCCGTGCTTCGTTCCTGGTCTAGGGTTGTATGCAAGGTATAGAAATTATCCGAGTAGACTGGGGCACGGTAGTTGAGGTTGAGGTTGGCTGTAAGACCAGTTCGCGCAGGGAAATGCCGAATAGCTACTCGTCCCAAGTTCTCATCGATGACCGTGCCCAGCGCGCCGCCATGAACCATCGTTGGCCAGCCTTCCAGGCCTGGCCCAAGGAAGACCACGCTAACGATTTTCTTCTCTTTGTCGTTCCAAAATACTTTCTGTCATGCAGGAAAAGCGTTAGATCAAACGGGATCCCGAGGTTCGGTAGTTGGAGAGATTCGGCATTTGCATGATAGGGCAACACTGCAGACGCCAACGAGGGCAACCAACCTGTAATCCTAGACCTCTGCTACCAGCCAAGGGGCCAGAAGTCAGCCGCTGTTCCTTATGGTCCTCCGAGAAGTTCTCGTAGACGTCCTTCTCCACATAATCTGAGTTGCGGCGCAGCTCCTGCACGATGGGCAGACCAATGTCGAACACGCGTTGTATTTCCTGAAGCTCCATTCGGTCCTCTACAGACCCTGGAGCTGGTGGCGCTGAGACTTTGTCGTCCATCCATTTCCCTGCACCCACGCCAAGCGCTCCAAATATTCCCGCATAGATTAGACGGCGCGGCCACCGCGATGGTCGGGTAGAGGCATTGGGTGCGGTGCTGGACTTTCGGACCGATACTCGCCAAGAGGTTCGTGTTCGTGTCGTAGATTGGCGCAGAGCCGGAAGGATGCGAGAATGGATCATTGTGATCACATTGCTCAGAGATGAGAATGCATTCAACGGATCTTTGAGAGCCGAGGCTAAGGTCACGTGAGCCGGATCGTCATCGGTGGTCTATACTATCTACAAACTACGGAGTCATGTTGCTACAAACTAAGTCAAAGGCAATAATCGATTGGTCACAATAATGGCGTGGAGACGAGCATCACTCATGTTCATCGTTCTATTCATCTAGATGACATTTTAGGCTTTCTCATATGAATAGATGCTTCAATCATACAACCTCGAATTACTCCGTAGGCAGATCAATAGCACGGTAAAGACAAATGAGAGCAGAGTGGGATTCACCTGGACATACTGTTAGTCATGTTTCATGCAGAAAATGTGATGTAATTGACTTACCACCACCGGAAAGAGTCTCGATCTTCTGTGCCTCGACCTCGGTCACAGTATCGTCGTTGAACCACCACCACTTGTCATCCTCTTCGCGGCGCTTGCTGCCGGTCTGAGTATTGTCTTTGTTCTGCTTTTTGACATATGCCGTGTAGTGGCCGCTGTCGGCGCTAGCACCCTGGTGGGTAATCACAGCACGAAGCTCGTACAAGCCAGACTGGTTGGTTCCGCTGTCTCCAGAACTCTGTTGCTTCACCAGCTCTTGGAGTTCTTTCTTGGCGACGCGGATAGACTCCGCCTTCTCGGCTTCGTATTCGGCATCCGTCTTGAAAGTCTCCTCCATCTGGCTATCGCCGTCCTTGTCTTTGGACTTAGCCTTGCTCTCCTCGGCTGCCTTCTTCTTTTGCATGGGCTCCACACTCTCTCCCAGGTCGGTTTCCTTCTTCTGGCGCTCTTCACGCTCCACGGCAATCCTTTGGCGCTTCTGGGCACGCTCAACATCCACTTCCTCCTTGCGGATCTCGCGAACCTTATCCCGAATTGGGATGAGCTGCTTGCGAAGATCGTCGGTGCAGAACTCCACCACATCCAACTCGGCTGGGAATGTCACCTTGCGCATAATCTTCGCCTTCTTCTGAGTCTCACGCTTCCAGTAGAAGCGGACAAAGTGCACCGTAAGGTACTTGGGTAGCCGGGCAATACGGGATCGCTTTTTGTATAGAGAGTTGGTACCCAAAAGAGGAGAGTTCTTTTCAATGTGCTCTTCCAAACCAGACAGAATTCCATCTTGCAAATGGTTGGTTTCCTTTCCAATATGACAATCAAGCTTGTAAAACACGTCGGAACTTTGGCTTGGTTCCTCGCCGAGTTCTTTGGCGGCCGGGTCCTCGCATTCGGTGACGGACTCGAATTGCCCTGCAAGGTATTTGTCCACAAACGAGGTTTTCGTGGCAGACTCTCCCTCACCTTCCGTAATGGTCAGCTTGGCTCTCAGCTGGTTGATAATTTGAGAGAAAGCTTCCTCGGCATCCTGCTGGGCGTATCCTTGTCCGTTTCGGTCACGTTGAGCGAATTGAGGGAAAACGGCCCGGAGGGCGTTTAGGAACATCAATGGAGGAATGCCTTCCTGGGTCTCGGACATTTGCTTGAACAGATCTCGTAGAGCAGCGGCCAAATCGCGCGAACCTCCCAGACCACCAAGACCAAAGCTACTGAGATCGGACAGACCTGAGCCGCCAGCTCCTGCAGTTGGACGATATCGAAGAAGCTCTTCTTGGAGCTCCGGGACACTCCGCAAAGCTTGTAGAGAGGAATTGAGGTAGCATGTGTTGCCCAGATTCTGCAAACCAGCCGGTGTAGCACCCTCCTGCTGGGCCAGGTCCGCCTCGGTCATATCCTCCAAGAACTTGACAGTCTCCTTCGGCCGACCGAGGTCAGCGGAACCCTGGCCTCCGGATGGTGTGCCCATCATCATGAACATCTGCCCGGGTTTGGCGTTGAGAGAGGAAAGTGGAGTATCATCCTTGAGCTGGCCACCCTTGATCAAGACCTTTTGACGGTCGGGTTCAACACCGGTCAGGGAGAATAGCTGGTACTTGAGGGTTTCGCCGTTGGACGTCGGATCGAGCTCGACTTCGTGGCGCTTGCCGGCATGCTTAACAATGACTAGAATTTGTCAGTGACCGTCGGGAAACATAACCTCATCCAGACTTACTCGGTATAGCCGCCATATTGTATGAAATTGAGCGATAACGTTTGAAGAATAGAGAGCTTGAAAGAGCTGAAGGGTAAACAGCGAGAGGCAAGGAAGCGTGGGGGACAATGCAAACTGCCCAAACATCATCATCACCGCCCACTCGGACGTCAACCTCCCCCTCTGCCTAGACACTCTGTTATTTTCGTACTCTACGTTCACTCCTCAATTGTTCAGGGTCATTTTCCCTTGAATACCTGTGTCTAGGCATTCATCTACACGAACTCCGCTACTTCGGTCCTTTATTTCAGTGCCTGTTGGGGGCCTAAACTATCCGCGAGCTACCCTACTTACTGCCTCTGGAAGCTATCGATTACCCTCCACCATGGTGAGTCCTGTGCCACCGAGATATGTTATTCTGTAACTGACAATATCGCAGTCGCAAAGCTTGAGGCCATACCTGCAGGCCTGTCGTTCCTCCCTGACGGCCGCTCTTGCGATCTCTAACTTCGCATCCCAAACATCGGAACGCCGTACGTCTAGATCACGGCACACACATGGGGATATACATACTGACCGTTCTGTGTAAAGACAATGTGCCTGAAATTGAAGCCCAAAGCAGTCCTGAGGTCTTGCTGAACCCATTGACCATCTCGCGCAACGAGAACGAGCGAATGCTCGTCGAACCGAGTGTGAACAGTGTCAGAATCAGTCTGAGGATTAAGCAGGCGGATGAGATCGAACACATTCTGGGTAATACTGGAAATGGCCTGTGCGCGGAGTATGTTCGCTAACCTTCCCCAGTTCACAAGTTCACTCGTTTCCTGACCCAACGAGCCGAGTCGTTCTTCATCTTGCGCAGGAAGCCAGTCGAGGTAATTTGCACTGATATATTAAAACGGTCCAAAGCTAATTCTTTTAGGGCTATGATATCTCCTTCCTCATAACCAACACCCATGTTGAGATGTTGCTCAAGCATAAATTAGTGGACTTCGTCATCCAGTTCATGGAAGAGGTGGACAAGGAGATCTCGGAGATGAAGCTCTTCTTGAACGCGCGTGCTCGATTCGTTGCCGAGTCTTTCCTGACACCGGTATGTTTGCATTGAACGGCCGCTATTGACGATTTACTGACGACGACCCAGTTCGATTAAATCCCCTAGCGTTTTCTTGTTGCTGACTCCGAATAATGAATGACCTTGTGTTTCCTTTCTTTTTCTGTACAGATAGCACAGGCTTGCAATCATTCAGAGAAGCTTTTACTGATGCCCATCCCCCATAATTTCTGAGCCAGTGTATGGGAGAGATATTAGAGTAATAGAGCCACTTGTTAAGTGGATTAGGAGAGTGAAATTCTTTACAGGTACGGGAAAATAGGTTGATATGGTGATCATGTCTGCCAGGGAAACGACGTGGTAATGTATTCATTGTACGCGTTGGAGTTTTGGAGCGTAACAGATTAGAGGGTACAGCATGAGACGACAGTATCATATTCATAGATGCAGCCCATGCGGTACACAAAGCTGGTACAATCCCCAGGTTATATTCGTATACATGTAGCAGGGCTGAGCCTGAAGACCTATCAAGCTTACAAGTATGACTTTACTTGCCGCACGAAACTTGCTTCTGAGTTCAATGGTTTCATAGCCTAGGAGAGCCCTAATATGCTTGCCGCACAGGTACTATGGATGAGATAATAGGTCTCACAATTTCAAGCCATAGGGGGGCAGTTCTCTGGACTCGCAGGAATAAAGCGCCTCCGAAATAGTTATTGGTGGAAGCTCTGCCAGTTCTCTACAATTGGCATCAAAAAGTAATGCAATTGAGCAAGAATTGGCAGAGTTTGGGCGTAAGAACGGTGAGGGTGTGGCTGGTGTGGCGCAGGCCCAATAGGACGTGCGCGGAACACAGCAGCGTGGTAATTCCGCTTTCGCGGTGGCGATGCGTGGCGCTACGCCTTAGAGGTGTTTATCTCGGGTTTATGCCTTCCGCTGGGCCGATTTACGCTGTTTGAATAATACAATATGTAGAGAGTATAGATATATCCAATCTCTGAGAGTTTCATCCGGATCGAGTATTTGGGGATGGTATTTTTCCAGTTTCACGCTCTGATGGAAGCAGGAAGGTCATTTTAGCGGAACTTCAATCCTCTCTCGCGCCTCGATTCCCCGCACCGCCACAATATACTTCGAACCCGAAACCCTAGCTACAGCTACGAATTATGTGGTTCATCTGGATCCTTTCGCTCATCATTGAGTGGCTTCGGGCAGCCTTACGTCTGAGAATTTACCAAGATAATTTCTCCGACGATGAGCCAGGAAATGAGCCAGACATTGAGGTATGTTCACAATACACTTGCAGGCACACATTATCTCCCTACAGGAGTATACGCTAACAATGATCTACTCCAGACATCCCATACTAGCAACTGCTGCTGTGCTCTATTCCAATGTTTGCGTTTTAGCAGAGGGTATGAGATTGAAGAAGAGCAACGGATGTTGGATGCCCAGGAGCTGCACATTCTGCATTGGAGGACCGAGCCTCGCCCTCCAGTCAAGGTTTTGACTCGCTTTGGTGGGGATGGAGCAGAAGAGGAAGAACCGTCATTTTCCAAGTTGGAAAGGGTTACTGATTTGACTGTGTGGGACCTTGTCTCTGAGGATTCTCAATCATGGTATCCCCTTCATCCTTACTCTCCTCCTCTGTCGCCGTCCCCCCTCCACCCAACTTCCCATCTCTTCCGATCTTTTCTCTCTCCAACTCCACCTCTTCTTCGTCCACTCCATCAACTCTTGTTCCCAACTCCCGTTCCCGTTCCCCTTACCCAAACCCCGCTCTATCACGTCTCTGGTGTCTTCCGCATTGTGGTCAGCTGCTAAACATGGCGTGGCCTTGCCATGGTGGGGAAGATGTCCCTGATATGCAGGACTTGACACTTCTTCAACGTTCCTCAATCTACGATCTTCTTAAGGATGCCCAAATTCCCTTCATTGCTACCGTGGACGTGGTCAAGCCATCTCCTTTCGGTGTTGTCCTGGTCTCCAACGTGAGTGATTTTTCTACCGGGCGCCCAGCTGTTGTTGTCTGGCCATTTCTGTTTGCTAACAATCATACCCAGATCCCGTACGGTGTCACCCGTGAGGAGGCTACCCACTTCCTAGGACCAGACTATCAGTATCTTGCAAACCACAATGGTGCCTGTCCCATCCATATCATGATGGAGCGTTCCACTGGCAAAACCATGGATTGCTACTTTGAATTTATCACTCAGGAAATTGCTGAAAGGGTAGCTGCCCGCCTTAAGGTTGCTTACGATGCTCGCAGTGCTCCCAAAATGGGTAGTCGCCACGTCGAGGTTGAGCTCAGCAGCCAGAATGCCCTGCTCAAGGCCTTGTTTCCTCTGGCTAAGTGTATCGCATGGGAAAATGGCTCTCCTGTTCTGCTGGAAAACGTCGATAAATGGTCGACTGGTTTTGATGGCTTCCTCACTGACGAGGAGCTTTTCTGCCTTGGTCGTCATTCGGACGCACCTCACCGGGTATGCCTTGCCTTTCTCGGGTAACTTAATCCGTCATTCAAGGTATCTAACATGTGGCAGAGTGCATTTGCAAGCAAAGTTCCCCAGCGATGCTATGAATCCATCATCACCACTATCTGGAAGGTGAGAGCGCTTGGCTGTTCCCGTTCCCGTTCCAGTTTGTGCTGTGTCGTGCTAACCCCGTTGTCTTACCTTATAGTTCCCATGGTATGCAACCGGCATGTACACTATTCACACACGCAATCAGGTCTTTGACCTCTTGAAGAAGATGGTCGACAATCTTCGGAATCACTTGCAAAAGACCACCCACACCGTGGGCCTTGACCAACGCCTGCTCCGTGAACTTGCCTGGTGTGGAGTTCTTTGCCCTGGTTTCAACCCACGCCAGAAGTATTCCATTGCTTACAAATCTGGCTTGGACGAATTTGACAATGTTCTGGATCACGACTGGTGTCTTTACTTTTCTTTCGACACTTTGAACTACGCGGATGATCACCCACTGCAGGTTTATCAGGTATGAATATGGCTGCGAGACTGACTTGCGGGCAATGCTAATTCCCTGAACCTATAGTCCTATGCCTTCTTGGTATCCAAGGGCTCTGTCAGCAGCACCGAGGTGGCAGGCTTGCATAACCGCCACACACATCCGAAAACCCGCAGACTGTTTGGGAGGTACTTTTTCCAATGGGAGGATGAACCTTGCAAGAACATGCTGTTCAAAGATGCTGTTGACTACGAGATGTGCATCCTTCGTCAATTTATCATTACTGGATTTAGGGACTACCACGAGATCCCACGTCATGACAGCGACTATTCGATTGGTGCGCCTCCTGATTCTCCAACAACCAGCGAAAGGTCCATTGACAGCCAGCGAACGATTTCTGCCCTCCCTCCCACTGCCCTGGCTCACCCTGCTTTAGCTAACCGCGAGCTCATGCTCATCCCTGCTCCAGCTCGTTCTCGGCGTCAACTCTCCCTTGGACAAGCTATTTTCGATCAGGGAACCCCATCTGCTCTTGAACATACCAATGAGAGTGGAAAATCGCAGACTCCCTTCCAACGTCAAGAGTCCTCGCCCGATGCTCGTTTTAGTCTTCAGTTGTTCACATCTGGCCACCAGCAGGCCAGCGAGAGTGGAAGCTTGCAGCCTCGCCCTCGACGTCATATGTCCTCACCTGAACAGGCCCGTATCATTGATGAATGGGACCCACCTATCCCTAAGCAACTCACCGACAGCGACAGCTCGCAGATTGATGACGATGGTTCTTCTAGTTTGTCTCCGCCTTCTACGCCTCGACCGGCTCCCGCTACACTAAACTACACCGATTTCAACTTCCGAAGACCTACTTCAACCAAGCAGACACATTTCACTCGGCAGTCGATGCGTCCCTCTGAGCAGCTCGACGATGAGGTGATCTATGATTCCTTTGATAGCATGTCCGAGCCTCATATGTCCAAGTATCAAAACCGCGCTGAATTCAATCGGGAGTGGCGTTTTCCCTATGAAAAAGGAGCTCCTAACATTCCACCACCAAGTGCCATCCCTATGCACCGTGCGATGCAGCGCCCTCAGGGACCTGAGCAGGCTCAGCAACCTCCGGCCCGGCCAATTCCTCTCTATCGCACCCCGCATCACCGTGCAACGAGCTCGACATACAGTCAGGCTCCCACTTACCATGCTCCGCATGCTACCGCACAGAATATCCGTTCGCACTCTGATCCTTTTGCTCCTGGTCCCTATGAAGCATCTAGCAGCCGTTCTCGATCTGACATGCCTTCTGAGATACCCCCTATCAACACGCCTTTCTTCGATAGCGTGCGTCAGGGCCAGCGCGAGCGCCGCGAGCACCACGAGCATGGTGCCAGCAACTGATCGATACGGCTTTCCTTGAGCCCATCTCCTCTCCCAAGGAATGACTCTGGTTTGTTCGGCACGGTAACAGTCTCAACGTTCCCGTCTGGTTTTTGAGTTCCTGGCTTTTTCCCCCGGCTCCCGCCGGGTTCCCTGGTTTCTTCTTGCCTCTGATTCCCTGCTTTTGACGATACCCCTGATTTCGACAATTCCCTGGTTTATTTCTACCCTAATTCCCCTGTTTTTGACGAGTGGAGACGTCCGCAGGCTGACAACAAATCTTCTCTTCACATCGATACAAACAATGGAAAACAACAAAGACCAAAAACACGCAGAAAATCCAAAAAAAGTCCTTGCACCTGGGGTTGTTGAATCTACGGTTACGACGGCACCCCGTCGAGTAAATCTGGGAGTGCTGAGTCCACGATACAGCGGTACCTCAATCGCAAGACATGGTTGAGAATTTCCCCTTTCCCGGTCTTAAATGATCATTTTTCCCCTTTCGTTTATCGCAGGATTCAGCCTAAACTGACTAATATGAAGTTGTTGGGAGATGTCGCTCCGGAGAGGTTCTTCAATACCTGGCGCCGGCCGCTTGACCAAGGACACCGAACCACCAGCAAGGCATGGTCCTGAATAGCAATAAGACAGTTTATGACAATCTTCTCCTTTTGTAGCTTTCTTTGTAATGTAATCCTTGTTTCGTAGTGCATGACGGGTATGCATGGCAATATGCATAAACCATCAGAGACCCCGTGCTACATTCTTCTTCCTGCTCTGGAACTGACACACAAGCGCCTTTCTGGGACTGTAGGCTTCCTCGTGCAGCACATTTGTTGTTTGAGGATGCATCTAGGGTCTACATGGGTTTTTCACTTAGACGCTGACTCTTGATTCTTCATACAGGCAACGGGTTGCTTCTTACGATGCGTCGGCAAAAGCCCTCTCGTGACAATCGAGATACATCTGCAGTCAAACCCAAGACACAGCCTCAGTCCCAGATCTTAGGTATCAGAAGAGATATCACCAAGCCTTTCTCCAAGGCAGTGGCTCAACCCGGACAATACGAGAACAGAAGCGACAAGAACTGGATCACTGTTGCTTTCCAGGCATCGAGCTCACATTCGCACTTGACGAGCCTTCCACACAAACAGTGGGAAGAGAGACTGGCTATCAGTGAGTGTGGGTATTCATGAGATACCTGAATCAGAAGTTATTGAGCAGAAGCTATTGAGGTTCATGGGCATTATTTTGATCCAACAGCATCATTGAGACATGGCCAAAGGCCAACGCCTGTTACAGAATATGACAATATCCCATCCCAAAGCCCTCCCGAGAACACCATACAATCCAGATTGAAGCGTGTCGATGCTTTGCATTGTCCTATTTGGCGATTTGTTGTCCCGCGGCATCCATTCAAAGAGAGGAGCTCGAACAACAACATACCGGGGTTGGTCTATGTGTTTTGAGCGCACGCAGTGACATCTGGGAGTGATTGAGCTATCACTTTGCCAGGGGAACTTTTCCACGAGTTACGATACAACTTCTCTGGTCAGAGATCTTTTTTCCGGTGTCGATAGGCTTTTGCGACCATATAACAATACAAGTTCTGTGACAAACAGCATTGCGACCGGGTGATAACTAAGGTGCGCATATATTATTTCGTTACATATCGAATTCCAGGCTTCGAATTGTCCTTGCTGAACAATCGAGCAGAAGACCCGCATACTTCGGGGTTTAGGGAGTTCTGCGTGTAAGAGCTCTATGTGTCTGAAAGGTCAAGATGAGGCCCACTATAAATCCTCCCCAACGATATGCGATGTTCTTCAGTGAAAGTGACTCAAATGACAAAGAGGTGAATCTAAAGTTGCGGCAAAGGGTTTCGGACAAAAAGCGGAGTCGTTTATTACGCAAAGCCGGTTTTAGGCCCCTTGGGTATTTATTACTTCTACTCCGTACACTACACTTCTACACTTCTACATCTTTCTGCTTACTTTGATTTTTTTTGGGTAGGAAATTCCGATTCTTGAAAATTCTTGCTTTACGCGAATTGCAGGAAATCAAAAAGAAAGGCTTTTCAAAGGTCAGTATTCAGCTATTTAGGAATGCCTCCCTCGTCTCGGCCAGTTACCGCGTCGCCTGAAGCGCCTGTGGCGCCAAAGCGACGCGCTTCAGCTCGACTTTCCGCCGTGGGACCAGAGGTCAAACGGGTCAGGTCGAACGTCGACCTGCCCCACCGCAGGGCTAAATCCACGACGAAGAAGAGCAAGTACTTCGAACCGGAAAGCTCTGACGAACCTGGTCTCGAGTCCGATGCCTCGCAGGGCGCCACCTCTGGCTCCGCGTACGAAGAAGGAAAGGAATCTTCCTCAGAGGCAGAGCCGGAGGAGCCTTCCGAGAGCGAGGAAGACACCAAACCGAAGGCCGGCCCCAAGGGTGGCTCGCGGCAAAGCGCCAGTAGCGCAAAGGGCCAAGAGCTTTGGCGCGAGGGCGTCAGGACCGGCCTGGGACCCGGAAAGGAAGTTATCATCGCAAAGCCCAAGGCGCGAGACGCGGGAAATACCCCATACAAGGATGAGACACTGCACCCCAACACCAAGCTGTTCCTGATCGACCTGGCGGAGAACAATGACCGCCAATGGATGAAGGGTAAGTGGGAAATATCACTTGCGAGTATGGAGTGGCTGGCTGACTCTGCGCAGCGCACGATCCGGACTACCGCGCGGCAAAGAAGGACTTTGAGACGTTCATTGAGACTCTCACATCCAAAATATCGGAGGTGGATGCCACCGTCCCCGAACTTCCTGCAAAGGACCTGGTAGGCACACACCCATGTCACCTATATCACCCACATATATCCTTCCACATATATCCTTGACAAGCCCCTCACTGATGTTCCTAGATATTCCGCATCCACAGGGATGTTCGCTTCAGCAAGAACCCACTTCCATACAAGGTATGCATTGTGTTCCCTCCCCGGGTTCCAGGTTCCTGTTGCGTGTGACGAATGTACTTGTGTGACTGTGATATTCATTAGCGGCGCTTATGCTGACACGAGTGACCAGACCCATTTCTCTGCAGCTTGGTTAGTATCGACGGTTATGTCTGGAGGAGAGAGTCCACTGAACGTCATGCAGGTCTCGCACTGGTAAGAAGGGCCCATACGCCGCATACTATGTGCACTTCCAGCCTGGCTCTTGTTTTGTCGGTACGTCTGACCCTTCTTTTTCCTCTTGTTCCGTTATGATCACCCAACCGGCTCACCGTTCTGTGTACAGGCTGTGGTCTGTGGAACCCAGAGGCAGAGCCGCTTGCTCTGCTCCGAGAGGACATCGACGAGCATGCGGACCGCTGGAAGGAAGTACTCCGGGAGCCCGAGCTGCGCCGCGAGTTTCTGAAGGGAGCATCCGATGATGACGACGCGGTTGTGAATGCCTTTACGCATCACAATAGGGAATCTGCTCTCAAGGTCAAGCCCAAGGTATGAAGCTCTCTGTCTCTACCCCCTGATGGTCTCTCCATCGAGACCTTACTTCTCCTGCCACTTCCCCTTCGCGTATCACAGTTGCACTGGCAACGGGTGATGCCCAGTGATGCCTTTGTACCAACCAAGACGCGGTCATGGGCGAATCGTAGGGTTCGCCTTCGAGGGTCGCGTGCATCCTCCGACCGGTGGCTCATCGATCTGGAATCTACTTCCATCTCGATCAACGAGTAACATGAGGGCAATGACTCGATGAGATCATAGAGATTGGAGTGGTCTCCCGATCTGCCAACTGTTGGACTGCCTGTACGCGTCCATGGCTGAGACCCGGTCCATCCTCCCTGAACCAAACTCAAGAAATGGAGTATAGAGGTTCTTCTCACTGTGAATACACACTGAAGATCAAATTTGCCCCCTTTCAACGCGTTCGGATAAATGGACCGGGAAGGGTTACGCCGTCGTTGGTTCCATGGTTCACATAGGCGCCAGGCTCCACGTTCCAAGGTTCACTGCTGACAAACAATTAGGGCTACGACGTGAACAATGAGAACATCAAGTTGCTACGTCTACGCAGTTTTACGATGGGAAAGCCTATGGCTGATGAGGATCTGGCTGGTTCGGATGCCCAGGAGAAGATAGCAGCCTTGGTGGCTATCATGGAGCCCTTCGTAAGATCATTCCAATTTCCCCCCCCCCCTCCCTTCTCGACTAGTCCGTTTTCCCTTCTGAGCTAGCCACTTCGGCCGTGTCCGTCCCTTTTTATCCACCGAATCACGCTTCATAGCCCGCCCTTCTTGATTTTCCCTGGACTGTGTGTGCTGACCGCTTCTCTTCATGACAGGTGACGTATCTGAACAGTGTTGTTATGCCCGATCAGTAACATGATTGGGGCTGGGAGAGGAAAGAGATCTGAGTTTTTCCCTTTTTCTTTTGGGGGTAACCGTCTGCATTGTGTTACCTGTCAATTTTCACTTTTTTTTTGTACGGAGTACGGAGTATGGGCTCAGGTGTTTTTGTCTCTCTGAGACGTGAAACCGGATCCCCATCGACGCCTCCTGCACACGGCCTTTCTTGGGTCCGTCCCCGCCATCATTCCTGGTACTGCAGACCTGAAAGAGGGCCCTTGGGCAAGTGAATTGTCACTGCACTTGCATTAGATCCAGCTACTGCATACTGCATTGCCCACAGAGCAACAAGGGTTCAGATTCGGTCCTTTGCGCGTCCTTTCCATGCCTTGCATTCGTTCTTTTCCCCTCTCCCTGCCTGTACCCGCCCAAAGCCATACCCCTCTCGACAGCTTACAGTTTACAATTTACGTTTACCCTTTTTACAATCTCGAGTCCAGAACGCCAAAAATATTCTTTAATTAAAATGCCTGACGCGCATTATATCGCCACCGCAAGCGGCCGCCTTCGGCCCGTTGTCGGGCATGCCCGCTAGACTAACCTTGGGAGTCTGTGGATTAAGGCCCGGGTCTACTCCGCCAGTCCCAGATTGTGGTTTTTGAGAGCACCTTCCTGGTCTGGAATGGACTGCATTTATTTGACTGGTTGCGTATTTGTATCGTTTCGGTTGTATAAGTTGGGTATATTTGTACTGTAGGTCCGGTATCAGGCAGTCCATGATCATTCCATTGTGGCTTTACATATAACTTGACTTTATTCTCCGTATTTTGGTCAATTGAGCGCTGGTCTACTTAATAATTCCTGGAATATATATTATAGATCTTGATCTGTGTTAAGATCGCCGTTGCCGTCGGAAGCTCAGCCCCGAAGATCTAGGATCATAGTTTCCCTTGTAAAAAGTACTAAACTTATGGTATATTAATTTTTATTATTCGTTTCCTGTCGAACGGGAAACCTAAGTTATTTTCCTGGTCGTATTTTTGATGCAAGTCGAGCGAGAGACTCGAAATATTCAACAACCCCACCTTGGTCATTGCACCATAATGTGATCGGATTCGGTTACAACTTGATATGAGAGAAAACCCCTGTAGTTTATGGACAGTTTGACACACAATGCGTTTGCATTCAAGGTTGAAATGGTAGAGGCGAGACTGCCAGAGTTTCATCAGACCCCAGTAGCAATATAACACGATCTCAACATTGGAGACCTGAGACGTCTTCTTCTCCAAGTAAACACATATACTTCGGGGATCTAAACCTTCTTTTCATTATGAAGAATAATATCTCCCGCTATTCTCTAGGATCGCTCATTAAGAACCGAGCACCGAGCTACAGTGCATGTGAAGGGACGATCCTGATCTACATTCTTGAGTAATATCTACTCCACATACTTTCCATCGTCGATATAAAGCTAAATAAAAGACAAGCATAAATCAGGGCAAGAGTTAACATGTTATGATTTGCCTTGTTTGCTACCCAACACTAGTAAATAAATCCTTAACGGGCATCATGTTTGTTTTGAATGACCAACAGCCGAATCTGGGGACCAACCAGCGCTAAGTGCGCATCATCAGCCTTGAAAGCTACGGTAGACTCGGTTTCAAAGCCGTCTTCAGTTAGTCGAGTTAGGTTGGTGATACCGGTGCCCTAGATGCACGTACAGTATGCACATCACACGGATATGACGCCCAGATCGGGGCAGTTTGAAATCCGCAAAGTCAAAAGGAACACCCAAAAAAGCAAAAAGAAGTACTGCAATTAAGCCTCCGATAGATCTAATGTGTCAAAAATGTCACTAGCTCCACGCAAGGTCCCGAGCGACCAGTTGCCGAGCAGCGTCCATAAAAAGCAAGGTGAGATCGACTCGCTTTGTCTCCCGAATGGTGCCTCCGAATAGAGTTGGCAAGGCCCAGCTGCAGCACAGCCTGGTGCCACCTGTGTGACGAGGCACCGACCGGAATGAGCACCAATGGGAGACATTCACTAGGTGAACTACGTGCATACAACAAACCACCCTCAGAGGGAAAGCAGAACAACAAAGGTAGAAAATAAAGTTTCTAGGCTCGGCTAATAACGAGTCTCATTGCATACAGTAGCCCAGGATCAGGTAGTCATCAGGCATCTCTCATCACACGACCTGCACGCCGTTCAACCGGTTCGTGTACACCGACTCAAGCACTGCCTCATTCCGGCTCGGTGCAGAAACCCTCCAGGTTTTAGAATTTTTTTTTATTTTTTTTATTAATAATATTTTCCTCGCCACGTCAGATCCTGACTAGCACAGACCTTTTACATAGGCTGTTCCCGTGACCGTAGAGGCATGCGGGCTGCGCCTATTAGTGCCCGACCCGTCTCCATCCCTGCTGATAGACGCGCTCCCGTGTGGGTAAAGGAGGGGTATGGCCTCACGATGAAATTCCCAAAAAGAAAGAGAGGAATTACCTAGAGCATCAAGTCGGAAAAAATTAAATAAATGAGACCAAGTAACAAAAAAGAACAAAAGTCTCAGAAATGACCCGGTCGGAAATAGCGTTGGGTCCTTCAAAACAGGCGCTCAGTCCTTTCCTAGTTTTGAGGAAGACTAGCGCGTCCCCAGGACAAACGGCATCGAGTGGCCAGCAGCTTTGGATCGAGTGGGTCTGGAGATTTCGGAGAGGGTACGCTAAGAGAGCTAAGTCAAGCTGAGCCGGCCACGCCAGAGAGTGGGGAGCGGAAAGACGCGGACGGCAATGCACTCGATTGGGTTCGAAAAACGTGGCCTGAAAGGGTAGTGTACAGTAGCGTGAAATTAGTGTATACCCTTGTAGGGGTGCAGGGATGTACTCCGTGTACTAAATGTGTACTATGAAAACGAAAGTCATACTGTAGGGCTAACATGCCACTGCAGGAGACGCCAAAACTTTACACTGCCACACTGCCACACTGCCCATAAAATACGAGTGGTATGGTCACATACCAGATGGCCATGCATAGATCGGCGGGAAGGCCGGAGCGGCCCGTGGGACAACCCCGAGAGTATTGTTACTGTATTCAGTACGAAGACCTCGGGATTGGCGACGGTCCACTAAATCCCGTACAACGTGGTTGTGGCTCCTAGGAACCCGCCCCCTGTCAGCGCTGCGCTAATGCAGGTTACCTTGGCTTATGGGCTTTCCGGATCCAGTGCTACAGCCCTGGGAACTTAGGGCACTCCACCCCCTCTTCTGCCTGGATTCCTTTTTCCTTACTGGCTCCGCTCTTTTGCTTCGGCATGGGATTTCGTATCGGAAATGAGTGGCGAGTCGCCCAACTGAACCCCACTCCTTCAGCTGAAGTCTGATCGCCACACCCGAGGGACATTCACCGCTTGATTTCTCAAATCAAAACTAGACAAAACCTGATATACATGCAGACGCCCCGACCCGAGCCCATGTATCGCGGGGCCGGATGCGGTTGTGCGACTACGGTCCGAGGCGGTCCATGGTTACGCGAGAAAGAAGCGGTGGCCGTTCTCGGGTTCCTCACCGAAGACTGGTACTCTAAGAGAACCATGGTTCATTAATTACCCACAGTTATTCACCTCATACTGTACACTGCATACACACTATACACGGTACTGTCAGGCTGGGTACTGGCGCCTCCCGTCTCCACTTCTAAAATCCCTGGCTTTTTTGGGCTTTTTCCAATCAAAAAATTCCCTTTCTTATAATTCTTGCTCACGTCATAATCGCCGAGGCTCTTTTCTTTTTCTTTTTTTCTTCTTTTCTTCTTTTCCACCTTATTTCCTTTTTCCTCTTGCCTATTCTGGTTTCCCCCACCCCCCTGGGAACGCGCTATGCTCGCTTTGCCCGAGTGAATATCCCCCTTTCATCCCTGTACTCACCTTCTCTTTCAACCATGTCGGGCCCCAACGACAAGCGGGAGGATCCGAATCGTCAGGATCCCCGCTGGAATCAGGACGAGCAGGCTCCCTATGTACGTGATGTGCTGACCGGGCTTTTGTGCTTTTGTGCTGATTAAAGAAAAAGTATCCCCCGACCTCTTATCCTCCACCAGACGAACAACAACGTCCCTATCCGTACCCGCCTCAATACGCGCCTCCTGCCTACCAGTATCCAGGATATCAGGCGCCGTATCCAACTTCACAGTATCCGCCTCCACCCAACATGGCGGCCATTCACGGACAAGATCCCTACCGCCTGCCTCCGCCGCCTGGTGCCTACCGTGGAGATCCTTATGCGCCCCCTCCAGCACCTCAAGGCCCTTACCAAGCAGCAGCTCCTCGCCAGCGAACCGCCATTGCATGCCGATACTGTCGGCGTCGGAAGGTATGGAGGATTGGGTTGTTTAGGGAAATGATCGCGCGCTGATTCCAACCTAGATTCGTTGCTCTGGATTCGACACCTCAGCAGATGGACGGTGCAGCAACTGTGTTCGATTCAACCAAGATTGCATGTTCACCCCAGTCTCGTCGCAAACCCAGGCCTTTGTGCCCGCGCACGCCGCCTACCCTCATCTACGAAATGGACCGGCACCCGGTGTAGGGGGACGACAACCTGTCCTGTACGGCGCCCACGGGCAGCCACTGCCACCTCAGCAGCAGCCGCAGGGCCCCGAGACCACCCTTCCGCCCCCCCAAGGGATGTACTATCAGAACGGACGACCCCCCATCGATGGTGCCCCGCCGCCCCTTGCGTCAGGTATGCCCGATCCGGTAAGGCCACCATTCCCTATCTAGCGCGAGAAGAAGGGCCTGATCTAATGATGCCACAGCGACACCGCCGAGGCTCGAACGGAGGATTCGAGTACCCTGATCCTACCAATTTGGCACCCGTGACTCCCGCTGGCTCCGCGCCCGGATACCAAACTCACACCACGCCGAGCCCTTACAACTATCCCCCTCCACCGGTGCACGATCGACGCACTTCACCGCAGTCGGCCTATGCATATGATGCCCGCCACTCGTCCTCGCCGCACGGATCACCCTTCCCACCCA